CAGGATATTCTTAAGCTGCATCAAAGTGTGGTGTTTATGAAATCAAAGATGATCAAGCTTGAAAATATTTTTATTTCAATCCACAAGCATTTAGATTAATTCAACAAGATTAAAAACCCAGATTTGGTAGATGATTCTGTGAAAATATAAAATTGCATTGATATTAGCGATATTCTCATAGAATACAAAGTCAATCTATCATCTAATTCTCAAGAAAAACTTAGCTTTAAGAATATGATAAAATTCCCTTTTAGAAATCTCAATAAATTTGCTTCCAATTACAAGAGAGAAGAGGATCTCAGCTATTTTATTAAGGAAACAACCAACGAATCTTCAAAGTAGATACAAGCTACTTCTTCTCAGCAAGGTTCGAAATAATCAAGAAAGCAGCAAGCGAAGTTGCAAGAGTAAAAATAAAGAAAGCAAAAAGGGAATGTTAAATAGAGCTAAGTCATAGAGCTTGAGAGTTAAGAGAATAATTAGGAGACTAACAATAACGACTCAAAGAGTGAAAAATCTGGATAATAAGTGACTGGACTGAGACAAAAAAGCACAAGAAATAAAACTAAGCTGATAGACTCAGATTATGTTTATTTCACTCCCCCCAAAATATCACAGTATTAAACAAATAATCTGTTTTTACTCAACGTGAATTATCAAATTTGAGAGATTAACGCACTTTGCTAAACCAGAACCTAAGCTTGATGCACCTTCATCACCAATTTAATTGCCACTTTTTAAATATTGAAAAAAAATAAAAAGTAAATTAGAAGGAAGAAATAAAGAAAAAATATGAAATAATAAGATTAATTAATATGAGTTAAATTAACAAAGAAAGAACAAAAAAAAGTAAGCACAAGAAAAAGAAAATGAAAAAAGATCTTTATTGTTTTAAATTAGTTTTTATGATTAAAAATATCACAATCCTAAATAAATAAACTGTTTTTACTAAAGGTAAAGTTTCAAATTTGAGAGATTTATGCAATTTGCTAAAGCAGAACCTAAGCCTGATGTACCAATTGCACCAATTTTTTTGGAACTTTTTAAGTTTTAATATATCATTAAATAGTTAATTAGAAGGAAAAAACGAAGAAATAATATGAAATAATAAGATTAATTAATAATTAGTTAAATTAACAAAGAATGAAAAAAAATCAAGCACAATAAAAAGAAAAAGGAAAATAAATTAAAAGAGCTTAAATATTTTAAATTTACTTTTATTATTTAAAATATTACAATCCAAAAAAAAAAAATCAATGAATAATAATTTAAATAAATTGAAAGTTAAATAATAAAAAATATCAATAATAATAAAAATAATATTTATTAATAAAATGTACGTCAGATCAATTTGGAGAACCTAATGAGATAAAAGTGAAGAGTTTAGAATCTTTTTTTATTAATTAATATAAATTTAAAAGAAATTAATAGAAAAATTAATAATTACTTCTTCTAAATTGTTATATTTTTAAATCTATTATATCATTTATTTATTTATTTTTTCAAAAATATTGAATAGCTATTTATGGAATTTAATTAATTAATTATAAATGGATAAAAAGAAAAAATAAAATATAATAATTAAATATCAAATATTAATTTATAAATTTGCTTTTTTAAGAGATATAACAGAAAAAAATAATTTAATATTAATTAGTTAATCTAAATATTTGTATTTAAAATATATTCTTAATAATAAATATAGTAGGATTTAAAGATGGCCAGTTATTTATATTTGAAAAAATTGTAGTTGTAAATGCTATCTAATTTTATAATGATAAAGTTTATTAGTAGATTTTTTTACTTTTAGCTTGGTAATTATAGGAATATTTATAATATCTTTAATTATTTTCTAATCAAATTACTTTTTTTGCAAGTACATGCTATTTAGGTATATAGATCACATCCACCAAATAAATGCATTTAATACCTACTTAAATAACTTTTTAATAAATAGAGTACAATTAATACTTTACTCTCTAGAGCTTTTAAAATCAGAGAGTGAGAGTAGTTAATTTTTAAATACGGTCGAATTTTGCAATATTATTTTTAAGCAACCATTTTCTAATATTTAACCTGATTTATTTGAATTTAAACCTTTTTTTTATCATTTAGCAATCTAAATATTTTGACTGACTAAAAATTTTAAATTATTTGATTCTTTTTGAGAAACAGGAGAGTTTGTTTAAGAGGAATTAACTTATTTAAGTAAATTTAATTTTTTTATTTTTTATTTTTACAAACAATTTATTTACTTACAAAAATAAATATGAATGATATTTATAATAAAAAACAATAATAAAATCTAATATATTTTAGGTTAAAAAAACTTTTTCAAAATATTAAAAAATAAAAAAACCTTTAATATTCAATTATTTAAACATTTAATATTTATTTTTTCTTTTTTCGTCATTTGCTTATCATAAGAATTATGTTTGAAAGACAACTAATCTTTTTGATTTAAGACACTTGCTTATTACTTTGAATTTTTATGATTAATTCATTATTGAGCTAAAATTTTATAATAAATTTGTGTAAATTTTAAATAAATAAATATCAAATAGAATAAACTTTTAAATTAAAAATTATTTCTTAAATTAATATATAAATAAATAAAATAACATTAGTCGAATAAAAATTATAAAAAATAAATCAAATAAATTCAAAGAGCTTTTTTGTTTTAAATTAGTTTTTATAATTAAAAATATCACAATCCAAAACAAATAAACTATTTTTACTCAAGCTCAAGTGTCAAATTTGAGAGATTAATGCAATTTGCTAAGCCAGAACCTAAGTCTGATGCACCTTCCTCACCAATTTAATTGTTCCTTTTTAAATATTGAAGAAATAATATATAATTAAATATTTAATTAGAAGGAAAAAATGAAGAAAGAATATGAAATAATAAGATTAATTAATTGATAATAAGAGCTAAAGTTAAAAATAAGATGAGTTAAATTAACAAAGAAAGAACAAAAAAAAAGCAAGCACAATAAAAAGGAAAAAAAAAAAAGAGAGCTTTATTGTTTTAAATTAGTTTTTATAATTCAAAAAATCACAATCCAAAACTAATAAACTGTTTTTACTAAAGCTCAAGTGACAAATTTGAGAGATTAATGCAATTTCCTAAACCAGAACCTAAGCCTGAAGCACCCATTGCACCAATTTCATTGTACCTTTTTAAATATTGAAGAAAAAATAAATCATTAAATAGTTAATTAGAAGGAAAAAATGAAGAAAGAATATGAAATAATAACATCAATTAATTGATAATAAAAGCAAAAGTTAAAAATAAAATGATGAGTTAAATTAACAAAGAAAGAACAAAAAAAAAGCAAGCACAATAAAAAGGAAAAGAAAAGAGAGCTTTATTGTTTTAAATTAGTTTTTATAATTCAAAATATCATAATCCAAAACAAATAAACTGTTTTTACTAAAATTTTTCCATCGGATCCTATTCTAAATTAGAGGAAAATTAAAAATAAGATTTTTAAAGTACTTGTAAAACTAATAAATACATAATAAAACAAAAGAAATATATTATAAATATAATAAAATTTAATTTTAAGTTGTTTTCTGAGTGCATTTATATGTGCGAGTATTTCTATTCTATTCTATTCTATTCTGCACCAATTTCATTTTAACTTTTTAAATATTGAAGAAAACATATATCATTAAATAGTTAATTAGAAGGAAAAAATGATGAAAGAATAAGAAATAATAAGATTGATTAATTGATAATAAAAGCAAAAGTTAAAAATAAAATGAAAAAGAAAACACAATAAAAAGGAAAAGAAAAAAGAGCTTTATTGTTTTAAATTAGTTTTTATAATTCAAAATATCACAATCCAAAACAAATAAACTGTTTTTACAAAAGCTGAAGTATCAAATTTGAGAGATTAATGCAATTTCCTAAACCCGAACCTAAGCATGATGCACCTTAATCATCTATTTCATTCTTCCTTTTTAAATATTGAAGAAAAATATATTATTAAATAGTTAATTAGAAGGAAAAAAAAGAAAGAATATGAAATAATAAGATTAATTAATTGATAATAAAAGCAAAAGTTAAAAATAAAATGATGAGTTAAATTAACAAAAAAAAAAAGCAAGCACAATAAATAGAAAAAGAAAAGAGAGCTTTATTGTTTTAAATTAGTTTTTATAATTAAAAATATCACAATCCAAAACAAATAAACTGTTTTTACTCAAGCTCAAGTGTCAAATTTGAGAGATTAATGCAATTTGCTAAACCAGAACCTAAGCCTGATACACCCATTGCACCAATTATATTGGACCTTTTTAAATATTTAAGAAAAAATATATCATTAAATAGTTAATTAGAAGGAAAAAATCTAGAAACAATATGAAATAAAAAGATTAATTAATTGATAATAAAAGCAAAAGTTAAAAATAAAATGAAAAAGCAAGCACAATAAAAAGGAAAAGAAAAGAGAGCTTTATTGTTTTAAATTAGCTTTTATAATTCAAAATATCACAATCCAAAACAAATAAACTGTTTTTACCCAAGCTGAAGTATTAAATTTGAGAGATTAATGCAATTTCCTCAACCAGAACCTAAGCCTGATGCATCTTCATCACCAATTGTATTCCTACTTTAAATATTGAAGAAAAAATATATGATGATTAAATAGTTAATTAGAAGGAAAAAATGAAGAAATAATATGAAATAATAAGATTAATTAATTGATAATAAAAACAATAGTTAAAAATAAAACGATGAGTTAAATTAACAAAGAAAGAACAAAAAGAAAAGCAAGCACAATAAAAATAAAAAGAAAAGATAGCTTTATTATTTTAAATTATTGGGCTATTTTAAATGTTGAAACTCAGAGATTACCAAATTCATAAAATTTTTCAAAATTTATTTTTTCAAAAAAATTATATGTTGTTAGAATATACTGCGTATATTATTTTGAATTTTGTGAATTAAAGCTTTCTAAAAACTCTAAAATAAAGCTGTTTTAAGCTAATTTAGCTTTATTTATTATGTTATTAAGATAAACTACATTTAGCCTTTTATAAATTAAATAGGCATTTCACTCTAGTTAATTAGAAAGAAAAAATATGAAATAATAAGCTTAACTAATTAATTTCATTAAAATTAACAAATAATGAAAAAAAGAAATCATAATAAAAAGAAAAAGGAAAATATATCAAATAAATTAAAAGAGCTTTAATGTTTTAAATTAACTTTTAATAATTAAAAATATTGCAATCCAAAATTAATAAACTACTTTTATTAAATGTAAAAATTAATAGCAAAAGAAGAAAAAATATCAAATAATAAAAAATGAATAATAAATAATTAAAAATTGGAATGAAAATTAAGTTAAAATAGCTAAAAAATTTTTGTTTAAATAAAAATCAATGAATGAATGAATAATGATGATAATTTCTTTTTCAAAAATTATTTATTTAATAAATTGAAAGTTAAATAAATAAAAAATATTAATAAAAATAAAATTAATAATTATAAATAAAATATACTAGAGACCAATATGGAGAACCTAATGAGATAAAAGAGAAGAGCTTAAAAACTTTTTTTATTAATAAATATATAAATTTAAAGGATATTAATAAAAAAATTAATAATTACTTCTTCTAATTTGTTATATTCTTTAATCTATTATATCATTTATTTTTTTTTTTCAAAAATATTGAATAGCAATTTATGAAATTTAATTAATAATAAATGGATAAAAAGAACAAATAAATATAATAATTAATTATCAAGTATTAATTTGTATATTTGGTTTTATGAAGAGATATCACAAAAAAATTAATTTAGCATTCATTATTTTAACTTAATTTTTGTATTCAAAACATAAACTTAAAAATATAAAGAGTAGGAATTAGAGATTGTCAGTTATTTATTTAGTCATATTTGAAAAAATTCTAACAGTTAATGTTCTTAAATATTATAAAAATAGTGTTTATAAGTAGATTTTTCTGTTTTAGCTCTATAATTTTAGGAATATTTATAATATCTCTAATTATAGCAAGATACCAAACAAAAATTTCGTGGTTTGCATGCCACTTATTATAAAATAGATTTTTATTAAATAAATAAAAAATCTGATTTTAATATTTTATAATAGAATTATAACCAAAAATAAATAATTTTTTTTACATCAAAAATTTTAAATTTAGCTAAGTAAAATTTGTATTTTTAACTATAATTTCAATGAAAGAGATTTTGAAAATATCATAATTAAAATATATAAATCTGTCCATATTCAATCCATATATCAGTCAGTATCAATAAATATCAAAAATCATATATTATCCCTTTACTAACCAACTAACATAGACCAAATAAATTTAAGAAGCATTTGTTAAAAACTTAATTTTAAGTAAATAAAACTTTTAAAAAAGATTAATTTGGAGAAAGACACTTTCTGAGATATGTTAAATCATAAAAAAATTGTTAAATGATATTTTTAAATTAAATTTCAATAAAAAATTGAAGCTAGCTATAAAAGATTTTTAAATTTATTTTTAAGTCTTAAATATTTTAATATATTTTTTAAAAACAGATAAAAATAATAAATAATTTAATAAATTAAAGACAAATAACTCATATAAATTGACTTATAATTTGGCTGATCAATCAACCTTAGAGTATAATTAATATACAAAAATAATAAAATAATTGAAATTTTAACTCTTTAGATGAATAATGAAGAAATTCTTTTATGATACCACTATTTATTTAAGATAATTACATCAATTTAGGAAATTGAGCCAAATTTTTATTCACTCAGAATTAGTTAGTTAGCTATTTTTAAAAATAAATCGCGGTTAATTAATATTTTTCAGAATTTATCATTTGTGAGAATTAATAATTTTTATTAAATTCATAATTTAAATACTAACTAATACTTGTTTGTATTCATAAAAATATTAATTAAAATACTAAATTTTGATTTCTCAAAAAAAATGAAAAATATCTGTTCTATACTTTCTGATCTATAAGCCAAAAGCGATTTTGTTAGATTAATAAAAGAAAATCATAATTATTTTCTTTGTGCTGTTGACGACTATTTTTTTGACAATAAAGAAAATTGGAAAACTAAGAATCTAGAGGAAACTAACTCATAGCCTCAAGCCTATAAACTTAAAATAGAAATCACACAATTTTATCCAGAATTCATAAAATATATTACTTTTTTTACTAATTCTCTAGTTGGTTTGCTTAAGTAATAACAGAATGTAGAAAATCTACTTTTTAATAAGTAAGATACTACTTTAGATTAAATAATTGAAAGTTTTTTTGCTAATCCTATAGCTGAAAGTTGTTAAAGTATGCAAAGCAATCAATATAAGAGTTGTAATGAGTAAGAAGTTTATGAATATCTGTAAAATTTAATTTTACAGTAAGACATTGATGAATTAAGGGCTTCAAAAAAACTGGAAAAAATTGTCAATAATTTTTATAATTTAATGATGATACTTATGATTGAGCAAGGAGATTTATAAGTTTAGTTTAAAAATCCATAAAATATAAATGTTCGTTAATTTAAAACATTGTAATTTGAAAAACTTGCTATATTATTACAAGAAACATTTCATATTGTGCATGGAGAATTTGAAAAAAGCAGGAGCGACTTTCAAAAAATTGAATTTTATTTACAAAAGCAAAACCTTGAGCTAGAAGCAAATCATTTAGAAATAAATTTAAATTATTAAGAAACATAAGATTTAAATTTTAAACTAAAAGGTGATAAATACTATAAATTTGAAGGATTTTATAATATGCCTTCTATTAAATCAAATTACATATATTTTTAATGCTATTATGATACTGAATTCAGTCCTTAAATAACCATTAATCTTTATCCTTATCTTTTGATAGATAACTATAGAGGTAAATGTGTGATAGTAAACAATATATATGAAAGTAACTTTTAAGGTGGTAAAATAAAAAAATTAATATTTTAGCAGAAATATCCTACAGATTCTGATTTTGATATAATTTGTAGGAATAACCCAGAAATAGAAATATATGATAGTAAAGTGAAGTAAGCAGTGTGTCAAAAAGAAAGCATGTATGGTTACATTTATGATAGGATTAAAGTGGTATAAATTCCAAGCATTTTGAATGGAGCATACTGCTTTATTTATGATCCAAAAGTTAGTGATTTAGATGAATTGGAAGAATTAATGTTAGAAGATTAAATGATACTTCTGATAACAGTTCTCAACAAATATAAAGAATAGTTTATGCTTTAAAACAGTGTAAGTATGATTACAGCTGACCTATTTTACATATGATTTCAGCAAGAAACAATACCATTTTTATAATAATTAAATAGTGAAATCTGAATAATCAATCATACATAATTTTAAATTTATTTAGCAAATTAATAATTATGAAACTAATATATATATATATACCAAGTATTTATATTCATTTCTTTTTTAAATATTTTATTTATTTATTTACCTTTTTTCAAAAAATATCAAACATCTACTGATACTGAATGGAAATAAAACAACATTTGTAATATTTTTTTTATAGAAATAGCTAGCTAGATTGATTTTAATAATAAATTCAAATAAAATCTTTATTTAATTTTAGAGCAAATGATTAATATTCTTCTTCAGAAAAATTGAATGTGAAAAGACTTTTTTTAATACCATAAATAATCATTAATTAGCACAAAAAATTTTTAATTTGAAAAAATTGTAATTCACACCAAAGATTTTGTACTTTTTCAAAAATTTTGAGTATATGAGAAGGTAAAATAAGGGTTTACGCCGTATACCCATAATCATATTTTTGTGATTACTTCTCATAACTTCCTTTAGGATAGATATGGCCATTAAAAATAATCTTACATCAGTTAATTTACAGAAGAATTATTATTAAAATTCGAAAGTAAGAAGCAAAAATGATTTTAGAAGATTAAAGATGCTTTGAATCAAAATAGATAACGCGTAGAGAAGATAGTGTGGAAGAAAAAAATATCAAAGGAGCGTATATATAATATTTACACATGTATCCAAATTCAAAGAGTAGGTTATATAATTAGACAATATAACTATACAAAATATGATGATATTTCACTCTAGACATGAGTGAAAGCTTTTAGCATCAAATAGCTTGCAAATCGTATTAATTAAGGATTAGCTCCAAGACACGCTAAATTTCCTAAGTACTCAATAGTTTCACCACAAGAAAAAAATAGGATATTTCAAGAAAGAGTTTAAAAGTAATTGCTGCTTTAAACTTATTTGAGAAATAGAAGAGATACAATCTGCTTTTTTAGAAAGATATACCTTATTTAGTCTATAAAAAATTTATTTTATCTTAAGAGTTTACCTACAGATGTATGAATTACAAACCATTAGTTTGCAACGCATAAAGAAACAAAATATAAATAATTAAGTCTTCATTTCATTTTCTAGAAAATTTTGATACTGATAAGATCTAATTGCTATAGATGAGAGCAGTTTGAATAAAAGTGCTTTTCTAAGTACTTCTGGGCACAAAAAGGTATAAATTCCAAGTTCTGCTGTGATTTTCACCTCTAGAATTATTCCCTAATAATGGCAATTAGTCTCAATACGAGTTTTAGGATATCAAATAAAATCTAAGGCATTTATTTGCTCTTATTTCATAAATTATTTAAAAATTATAAGAATCTATTATATTGAAACCTATTAGATGAATGATACCATCTGCCTAATTATGAATGATAGTAGAATCCATAAAGTTGAGTGTGTAGAATTTTAATTATTGTTTATTTTTCTTTTAAAAATATGTTTTCGGATGAATAATGAGTTCTACTTCTACTTATTTTCTTTTTTAATTAATAGATTACAAAATTTATGAGACACCGTCCTTATAGATATTAAAATCCAAATTTAAATAAAATACTTAAATTTAAAAAGAACTCATTATTAAATAAACATAAAAGATTATAAATAAAGAAATTATATAATTAAGAATTTAAAATTATTTTTATAATGCTTTGTATTTTTGAATTTTTTAGTTGCAATAAATATGAATGATTATTGTTAAAATTTTATTAAAAGTTATTTAACGGATTTCTATTTTTTTAACTAATATAAAGTTGATACATTTTCATATTTTGAAATACATTATTACTTAATCAAAAAAATCTGAATATATCGAATTTAAATAAATTAATTGAGAAAATTATTCTTTATTTTTTAAAGCATTCTTTAGAAAATACAAGATTTTTAAAAAATATAAACAATACTTTCATAAAAATACTTATTATCTATTTTTAGTTGATAGTATATAATTATTAGATATGTTAATGGATTGAGGTGGTGAAAACTATAATTGATGAGTAGTCAAATTATTAATGTGATTGTTGATAAATGAATTTTATAAATTGAATTTTTAGCGGTTTGGAGAGTTTTCTAATTCAAAAGAAATGTTTTCTTTTTCATTTTTTTTAATTTAGTTTTTTTCGACTTTAAGAGAATGTTTATTTAACTAGTCACAATTTTCTGATTGCTTTTGTAATTCTATTATATGGTTGCTTTCATTATTTTTAGGCTAATCCTTTATTGATTTTTATTTGATTTAATGTCTTTATATTGATAAGATAGATATATCTAATTACGACTAATGAACTAAGCTTATTTTCTTCTTCATATTTCTTAATTTATCAATCGAAATTTAAGAAGTTAGTTTTAAAAATTTATTTTATTTATTCTATTCCTCAGCTAGTTTTTCTTACTTTAACTTTTCAATCTCTGCTTTTGGTTTTATGAGTGTGGTAATAAAATCTTTAACAAGATAATAGATGCCTTTTAATAGATCTACAATAACACTAAAAATATGTATAGTTAAAATTAAAGATGCACTACCAACTATAATCCATCCTATGTTAAATCTATCTTCCTCTCTTTAACTTTCATCATCTTTAACTAAGAAGCAAACTGTAGCCTGCATTATTACTAGTAACACCTCACTTATTCCATTTTTTATATTAGCAGAATTTTCTTATTATGGCTTAATGTACAGATAATAGATTGATAGGAGAACATTCATAGAATTAATAATAACCATTTAAATGTATACTTATCCATAAAAATACAATAAAACCAAAATATAAATAGTTTTTCTAGCGTAAAGAATTACATTAGTATATCTACTCCACTTATACTGTAACTATTTTTATCTGGTTAGTTTTTCATGCTCAATTTTTTATAAAGATTTGTTTTCATTTGATGTCTTTAGATAACATTCGTTCATTTTGTTATCTTACTTTTTATTCTATTCTTTAGAATTTTGATCATTTTAAGGTATCACTAAACCTCCTATAATTGATCCAAATTACATTTGAATTAAAGGGTCATTTAAGTTTTTGCAATTTCTTATGAAAATTGTTATCATTATTGGATATATTATAGTAAATAAAAAGGTTATAGAAAAGAGTGTGTAGTTAATAAAAGCAAGTGATTCATCAAATTAAAAGCTGTAAAACTATAATAGAGAAGATAGTAATAAATAAACATACACACATCCAACCATATCAAAAAAGCCACAAAATTCCTAATTTTTTTTTTAATAAAAAATGAGTTAAGTCAGTTAGGAAATTAAATAACTTAAAATAATTGATAAAAATATACCCATCCACTTTTGATTTTACTTCTTATGTATACTCTTATAGATGTTATAGGAATATAAGATAGAATTTTGATAACTCCGTATATCACCATGATACCAGCCATAGTTGTAAGAGATTATCCTGCTCCATTTAAAAAATATCTATTTAATTAAAAATATTTAAATAAATTTATATTAAAAATTTTTTTTTACGAATCATATCCATTATCAATAAATTTCTTGGGAGTATATGGTTGAGTATAATTTGGATTCATTAAATAAACTTATATTGAGTTAGGAATAAACGCAAACTAGAAATTTTAAAATATTTAGCAAAACAACATAACATTATCAGGATATCTAACATCGATAAATAGCATAAAATAAATAAAAGTTGTTAAATCTATTGTGCTAAAAAGAACATATGTATTTCCTATCACTATCATAAGTATCCCCATTATAAGTAATGATTTGGAAGCTCCAGAAGCAACTTATTTAGTCTGTTATGACTATTTAATTTAAGATTCTGAAAGAACTACATATTCGTCAAGTTTTACTTCTTTTTGTGGATCTACTAAGTTATTAATTTAAACAAAGCTAAGATCTTTCATCTAAACTACCAAATTCTTATTTTTACAATTGTATTGTAATTTTAATTAAATTTTGATTGATTTTTCTTAAGCCTAAAGGATACTAACTTAAAAAGGGTTTACATAATCTTTTATTTAGATGTTTAATTAACTGTCTAAATTTTAATCATCCGCAACTATTTAATTTTTAAAATTTAAAGTGACATTATAGCCAACATTTTAAATCACAGTTTATTAAACAGAGAAATCATTTTTTATTGATAAATTACATTAAGAATCAGAATCTAAATTATATTTATCATTACATGTTTAGCATAGATTTGGTTTATATGGTTTGCATTGACTACACTGAGGAACTTTGCATTAAGTTGAAACACATTAATTTGTAGATGGATCTAATACATATCCAGAATTACAGCTTTTGCACTAAGTTTTATTATTTGGAGGATCTTAACATTCTTTACAGTTATCTAAGCTGCAATTGAGCTAGCATTAAATAGTTTAACCAATTGGATTTAAGTGATATTCACTAATGCATTATTGACAGATACTCCCATTTAAAGGATCACATTTTTAGCAAAATTAAGCATTACACTAACATTAGTTCGAACTAAAGTGATATCCGTTTTAACATTACAAACAAATGTTTCCATCGTTTGGGTCACATCTTTAACAGTTTGCAAAATTGCATTTATTAGTTTAATTTATAGGATCATATGTATAACCTGGCTTAGGAGATATACATATTTTTCCATTGTTTGAATCACATTAATTACAGCTGTTTACTTAGCAATCACAGGATGTTTTAGAAGAGCTTAATAAGTAATTATTCACACATGTATTACATATATTTCCATCTGTTGCACTGCATTAGCTGCAATTCTAAACTTTACACAAGCATGACCCATTTTATGAAATAATGAAATTCGAATAACAAATTTAACACATGAGCCCATTCAGAGGAGTGCAAGTTTAGCATCCATAAACTTAGCAAGTACAAGTTGGAGATTAGGTACCTATTGGTGCATAATTTGTTATGCAGCTATCGCATAAATTACCGTTTGAAGAATTACAAGTTTAACAATTAGAAACATTACATTAGCATTAGTTAGAACTAAATTAATATCCGTTTTAACATTACAAGCAAATGCTTCCATCGTTTGGGTCACATCTTTAACAGTTTGCAAAATTACATTTATTTGTTTAGCTCATTGGATCATACGTATAACCTGGCTTTGGCGATATACATATTTTTCCATTATTTTGATCGCATTAATTACAGCTGTTTACTTAGCAATGACAGGATGTTTTAGAAGAGCTTAATAAGTAATTATTCACACATGTATTACATATATTTCCATCTGTTGCACTGCATTGGCTGCAATTCTAAACATTACACAAGCAAGTTCCACTTTATGAAATAATGAAATTCGAATAACAAATTTAACACATGAGCCCATTCAGAGGAGTGCAAGTTTAGCATCCATAAACTTAGCAAGTACAAATTGGCGATTAGATACCTACTGGTGCATAGTTTGTTATGCATCTATCACATAAATTACCATTTGAAGAATTGCAAGTTTAACAATTAGCAACATTACATTAGCATTAGTTAGAATTAAAGTTATATCCGTTTTAACATTACAAGCAAATACTTCCATCGTTTGGATCACATCTTTAACAGTTTGCAAAATTGCATTTATTAATTTAATTTATAGGATCATATGTATAACCTGGCTTAGGAGATATACATATTTTTCCATTGTTTGAATCACATTAATTGCAGCTGTTTACTTAGCAATCGCAGGATGTTTTAGAAGAGCTTAATAAGTAATTATTCACACATGTATTACATATATTTCCATCTGTTGCACTGCATTAGCTGCAATTCTAAACATTACACAAGCAAGTTCCACTTTATGAAATAATGAAATTCGAATAACAAATTTAACACATGAGCCCATTCAGAGGAGTGCAAGTTTAGCACCCATAAACTTAGCAAGTACAAATTGGCGATTAGATACCTATTGGTGCATAGTTTGTTATGCAGCTATCACATAAATTACCATTTGAAGAATTGCAAGTTTAGCAATTAGAGACACTACATAAACATTTGCTATTTAAAGGGTTCAAATTATATCCGCTAATACAAGTTTAGCATTAAGTACCATCTAAAAGATTACACTGAGAACAATTTGGAACAGCACATGAACACTACTTTTTGTCTAAGCTAATTAGATACCCATTTACACAAAAATCACAAATTGTACCCTCTTAAGCTTTGCATGCTTAACAATTTTATACAGAACATGAACAAGTAGTTTTATCAGAGCTTTAAATATAACCAGCTATGCATGTCTAACATAAACTAGGTTAACCAATTACACATTAACTACAATTATTGACATTACAAGGATTACAAGCAGTTCTGTCTAAACTTAAGGAAAAATGGTTTTAGCAATTTTAACAAAGTCCTAAAATTCAAATTTAAATAAAAATGTTTAATGTGTTTAATAAATAAATAAAATTAACTAAATACCTTCTCCTGAACAATTTGAGCAATTTTAAATTGTACATAAAGCACAATTGATCGGATTTGCAGTTACTATAAAATAATTACCTGTAGGATTACATAAAGTACATTATTGATTTTAATTACATTACTAACAGTCATTTCCGCTGCAATTTTTACTGCATAGACCTGTTTACGGATCACGTGAATACAATACAGGGCATCTCACAAAATTACAAGTGTAAGTGGTAGGATCATAAGTAAATCCTAATTAACACTAAGAGCATGAATATAGATTTGGACATTAAATGCAATTAATTATAGGACAACCACAGGTATTAAGAGAATAATTTTTATGTTCATAGATAAGAATAGCCTTAGAATTTAAACATTTGAATAAAGATAAATCAACTTATCCAGGACAAATTTACCAAGTATAGTGAGTATTTTACAATTAGATATAACATTAAGTACTGTAGGTTTAGCAACCTGAAACCGTTGATTAATACTAGTCTTATTAAGTAATAAAAAGAAAATTATTATTAACAAAATATTTTTATTTAATATTATATAAATTTGATGATTAAAATTTAAACATAAATTTATATTTTATATTGAATAATATTTGATTTTTAAATTGTTAAATTATAATTTAAATTTAAATTTACTTGCGGGACAATCTCCTCCAGGATTTGCAATACAATTCTTGTTGGTATCTAATGAATAACCTGGTAGACATTTTACACAAGTAAATGTTAGAGAAGAAGGAGAATTTTTGATACATGAAAAACAATTGCTTATGTTGCAATTTTAAGTTTATTCACATACTTTTTATCCTGATTGTATTGTATACTTATCGAACCCTAAAAGACATTTGCTGCAATTAGCACTGTCTAAGCAAATATCGCAATTCTCTACACAATTAGCCCATACTCTTAACTTCAAAATACCATACAAAGAATTACCATATTAAGTTACATGTTATTAGAACTACACTTTTATATTGTTTGATGTTAGAGATTAATTGAGTTACACTGTTTCCTTACTTACTTATATATACTCAGTAAGATGATTGCATCTTAGGCTATAATTATACTCTATATTAGTACCTGTTCTAGCCCCGCTGTAATTTTAACTGAATAATGAAGTATCTCCATCAAATATATTCATATTTAAGGGGTCAATATTCCTTAAATAAACTAAATCAACACCAAAAAAAGAATAAGGTTATGTGATTGATTTTATCATTTAGAATCCGCTAGGATAATGAAACATCTCTGGTGAAAATATATCAGCATTATTTCCATTATCTGATCTATCACATTAATATTAGCAACTTACTCCAGAAAAAGAACCAGAGACTATAGACCAATACTAGCTAAAAATATTAGAGCAGGAAAGGCTAGGAGTAAAATCTTAATAGTAGACCACTTCTAACCCTATATAAATAAAATTTAAAAGTTCATTTCATATTTAATTTTCCATGTATTTTAGTTAAAAAACTAAAGTAGAATTATCATTTAATAAAGAAGAAAATTGATATACCTCTCACAATAATACTGTTAATATCTAGGAATAAGACAAGTAAAAAGAAAAATTCTTAGATCATTTTTTAGATAAAATATACTTTAGAAATATTTATCCTCTTTGTTACTTTTCAATTTGTCTGAATTTTTATTTTTGACAAAACTTTGTTACTTTTAATTAAAATAATATATAAAACAAGTACGTATAAATAGTTTTTAAATACATAAGTAAGGTAAATAATCAGCCTTTTGAGTACCACATATAAAAACATATTTACTGAATATTATCGAATTAAACATAATAAAAAATAAGCTCAGCTTCTTGGTATTTGGAACTGGTCAATTTAATTATAAACTGATACTAAACAATAAATAATAATCAATTTTTACTGGTAGTACTTATTCAATTTATAATTCATAATTCACCTCAAAATAAAAATTTTTATATAAATAGTTTTTAAATACATAAATAAGGAAAATAATCAGCCTTTTGAGTACCACATATAAAAACATATTTACGGAATAATATCAAATTAAACATAATAAAAAATAAGCTCAGCTTCTTGGTATTTGGAACTGGTCAATTTAATTATAAACTGATACTAAACAATAAATAATAATCAATTTTTACTGGTAGTACTTATTCAATTTATAATTCATAATTCACCTCAAAATAAAAATTTTTATATAAATAGTTTTTAAATACATAAATAAGGAAAATAATCAGCCTTTTGAGTACCACATATAAAAACATATTTACGGAATAATATCAAATTAAACATAATAAAAAATAAGCTCAGCTTCTTGGTATTTGGAACTGGTCAATTTAATTATAAACTGATACTAAACAATAAATAATAATCAATTTTTACTGGTAGTACTTATTCAATTTATAATTCATAATTCACCTCAAAATAAAAATTTTTATCCCTGGCTAAATTATTTCAAGTAAATATAAAGTATTTATTAAAAAGATATTTTACAAGGATAATTTAAAATCCATAAATGTAACAAATTTAGTAACTAAGTACTGATTTCGCTCATATGACATATTACTTAAAATATACACTTACTGGCTCTTGCTCTAATTCAAAATTATTAAATGCATTAAAAATAAATTTAACATCGTATATACACCAAATTAGTTATTAAATAATATATAATTCCCTTTTTACGTAATAGATGAGTAATAAATATGATAAGTATTTGTTGAGTAGAGTAAAAATTCATTTGTTAAATATTTTGTATATTTAATATAAAAAAATATACAAAGAAAATTTATTTTAAAATAAAAACTAACATAAGATAAATATTTACATCTTAATTTATTGTATTTACTATTTCAAATATAATAAGATATATGAGACAATTAAAAACTTAAAATTAAGACCAAATTTTAAATAATTATTTGAATGATTTTGATTAAGAAGTATTTATAATTTATTACAATATCAAAGACTAAAAAATTCTTTTATTATTTCATTATTTCTTTTGTTTTTAGAAATAGTTTTGTTTAATAAACAATAAAATTTTATTAAAAAACATGTTATTGATATTTTTTGGCATCAAATATTTGTTTTTGAACTAATTTTTCAAATATTAAATTAACAGAATATACAATCTTTATGATTATCCTTTTATTTATTTAAATGTTACTATAAAAATGTAGATTGCAAAAAATTAGACTTATATTTTAAACAAATCTAAATTAATTATTTTATAAATAGATATTTGAAATTAATATTTAATTAACCATTAATAATTTTTTTTTTAATTTATTAAAAATCCTATTTATAGTCTTATTTAATCTATCATATTTTTACTAGTTTTTAACTATTACGCTTTAAGAAAAGTTGGATTTGTGGTATTTATTCAATTATTGAATAAAAACTAATATCATATTCAAATAATTTGGTTAAATTATACCCTATAATCTGCCAATTTTCTGATTCCTCTATTTTTTTTAAAGACCTTAGAATCACATTATAAAATTCGTTAGGAGTATGGTGTAAATATAATTCAATAGGGGGTTAGTGTGATTAAAATACAGTAGACCCAATTATTCTTTTTATTTTAAAACATTCTTTAGAAAATACAAGATTTTATAAAATATAAAAAATACATACTTTCATTAAAATATTTATGATCTATTTTTAGCAGCTAGTATATAATTATTTGAATTATTAATAAATAGTGGTGCTGAAAATAGTATTCTATTAATAGTCTAATTATTTATGTTATTGTGTATAAATGAATTTTATTAATTGATTTTTTAGTGGTCTGTAGAGTTTTTTAATTCAAAAGAATATTCATTTTTTTTATTTAGTTTTTTTCAATTTTCTGATTGGTTATGTAGTTCTATGATATGGTTGCTTTCATTATTTTTAGGCTTAACTATTATTTATTTTTATTTTATTTAATGTCTTTATATTAATACCATAGATATATCTAATTATGACTAATGAACTAAGCTTAGTTTCTTCTTCATAAATCTTAATTTATCAACCAAAATTTAAGAAGCTAGTCTTAAAAATTTATTCTATTTCTAAAAAATATGTATTATTAGTTACTTACTTACTTACTATCTTACTTAGATTTTTTCTTACTATTAAGATTTATTGTTATATAATTTGAACAAAGGTATGAAATAAGGAATAAAACATAAAAAAAACCAGAAATGATATTAACTAATTACAATTAGCATCAAATTTGTTTTAACAAAATATATAATTATCTTATTCATCATAATTAACTCCTTAATTAAAGTGATTATATCCTATGGTAACTGAGGGAAATCTAGCTATAAAGAGAGTCTCTCCCTTTAAATATCCTAAATTTATTTGCAGGACTAATAATTTAGTTAAAGTAGATAGCGAAATATTAATTTACTACTCTAGGTGATCAAAATGTGCTTACATATAATCAATTTGATAGTTAAATGTTTCAAATACGTTTATTATAAATAAATTTGTTAAAGCTGCTCTTAAGCTATGTATGTCTTGTGGCTACTATTTGAGCATCCTAGTTTTTCAATATTAGTAATTATATTGAATTTTTTAGACATTTTGAAAACATTATATCGTTATTTGTATTCTTAAATCATCTCATTAGATAACTTGTGATTTCAATTTTTAATATGCCCCATATAATCCCTAACTGGTTTTACAATGTTGGCAAAAAGGATAATTGATCTTAAGAATATCTAAGTGATTCAATCAGCACATTCTTTTTATCAGATAGAATAGATCCTTTAAAAACTAAAATCTAATTCTTTTAATGTTAATATCCAATATAACCAAATAAATTCTATTCATAGTCGTTCATTAATTATACATCTGAAAATTCATCACTTCTTTCACATATTTACCACAATTATATTACTGATTTAAATTGTCTGATTTACAATAACTTGATAGAAGGTAAGCTGCTAATTAAATGCTGTCTGTTTCAAATAAAATTATTATATTCATCATGCTGATCAAATGCCTTATTTGCTATTTATTAACTCATTGCTTAAATTTAATAAAAAATTTATATTAAATAGCAAAAGAAATTTTAAAATGTAAAATAAATTTGTTATAATTAATCAGTATTTTTATTCGAGTTCTCATTTATTTCTAATAAAAAAAGATTTTTCTTCTAATATAATTGAACAGTGATATATCAATAAATTAATATAAAGTAATATGGAGCTTATTCTTTTACATAAATAAATTAGCTTTAATCTACTATCATCAAATTAAGAAATTATATTAAATAAGAAAAGAAATTTGAATATTCCCTAAAAAATAATTTTTTTTAAATCAAAGAAATTCTAAAAATATTTAAAAATAAACACAAAAGACAAATTAATTTTAATTGAGTTTATTTTTCATTTTAATCATACATTTAATATTGATTTATATAATTACAATATTAAGATTTACCTTTAATTAAATTTATACTTTGTAGAGAATATCTCTCTATTTTTATATCTCAAATAAATACTTACTTAAACTCTACCAGATATTTTATTTTATAAAAAATGTTTTGTATTTAATTTTTATAAGGTTTAATCTTAATTTTTTTTGGCCAGTTTAATTTGATATACCTTATTTTCTAATGTAACTTAAAATTTTTAAATATACTCACTATATTTTAATATGTGTCTGAAGATATTGAATTTATTTTAAGTTCTATGTTTAATGGAATTAATAAATTTTAAAATGCCCATTTACTCTCTATTTCCTTTTTCAAAATTTAGTTTTTAAAATCTATTTTAATTCTCAATAATTCAAAATTTTTTTGTACAAATTTTTAACTACTTTCTTGTAAAGATTAGCCACTATTTTGTGGTTTTTAGGCTTCTTGTTAACAAAATTTTAATCTGTTTAAACCATTTCTTTTAAATTTTAAATCGAAAAACTCAGTACTAAATAATTATAGAAATGGCAAATCTTAATGTAAATTCATAAGATAAAGAACTTAAAATGAATCAATCATAATAGTCAATTCTTATAGCTAATATAATTATTTAAGAGAGTTCTTCATGAATAATATATCTTCTTCTGTTAGTTCGATATCAAATATAATTAGTTTGAGTTTTTCTAACTATTTTAGAAGAGATAAATATGAAAAAATATTTCTAACCTATTCTTTCTAAATACTTTCTTTCTAAAGCTTAAAATCAAATTCTACAATTTATTAAAGGTTAACAAGGTTTTATAGGAAGACATCAGCTCCATTAATAAAAAATTAATTATTTTTTTAAATTTAAAGATTAAAAATTTTATTAACTTTTAATTTTCCAATCTAATTACTAAAATACTAAGCAGAGTTACTATCAAGAGTTGACTCAGGTATTGAAAGTGACAGTTTTTCAAGATTCAAATAATTTAAGCCTTCAAAAAAATGTTATATTTCTTATAAATTTTCTGATTACTTAAAACTTGAATTCAAAGTGAGCTCTTTTAGATTCTGCAGATCCTAAAAGACTTATTTCAATATTAAAATTTCATCTAAGTTCATTTTTTATTCGTTTTTAAGGAAAATTGCAAGTTTTTCAAGTTTACAAAGAGGTTTAATTGCATTGAAAAATTGAATTAAATTGAAATCTTATTCAAAATAACAAAGATTTATTTTCAGCATCTTCAAATTGGTACATTTTAATGTATTAAATTGTAGTTTTTCAACATAAATTTCAGCGTTTTCATAATCATCATAAAAATATTAAATTTTTAAACTGCTTATTGATTTTAATTAAGATAGAAATTGATTTAAATTAAATTATTTGTAAGATGAGTCAAATTAATAGCTTTTAACTTTAAAACAACATTCTTTTAAATTAGAATAGTAATTTATTACATCTTCATTAACAAAGTTTTCAATTAGATTCTATTTTAATTCTTATTATGTCATTTCAATTTCTTATTCATTTTATTTTTTCTCCTCTTTTTCTTATTTTTCCTCTTTTTCATATTGATTTTTCTTTTGATCTTCGATTTCTTAAAATGTATCAATTTTTTATTATTTTACTTCTACTTCTTCTTTTACTTTAAATTCTTCTTATTAAGCCTCGTCATCATTTTTTTAATCTGTTTTTTCTTGCTACTATTTTTCTTCTTCCTCATTCTTATTATCTTAACCTGTTTTAAATCCTTCTTATTAAGCTCTATCATCATTTTTTTAATCTGTTTTTTCTTGGTATAATTTTTCTTCTTCCTCATCCTCATAATCTTAATCTGTTTCATCTGATTCGCTCTCATAAATTATCTCAGATATATATGAAGCTTCAAAAGAGAATTTTTATAAATTTTTTAGTTATGTCAATCCTTACAAAAGTTGAAAAAAATGTTTAATAGAAATTTCTTCCTATAATTTTAACTCTAATTCTTATATTCCTTGAAAATATATCAAATTATTAGTAAATTCAGTAATTTCTTCAGAGGCTTCAAAAGATTCAATAGACATTTTTAATTTAGGTATTGTCAAGTTTTATACATCTTTTAGTAATTCGAATATTTTTTAAATAAAATTCATGGGTATAAACTTATCGAATTATACAGATAACCTTTTTACACTTTTAAACAAACTAATTTATTTGAATATTCCAAGAATTAATAATAAGCGTTCATCTCTTTTAGATTAAATAAAATCCTTATTTAGATTTAAAATTTGTAAAAAATGATCTAAAATTTCATTTTTTGGATTCCTAAAAGCGTTATCTTTTATAACAAAGGAAAATTCTTACAAATCAGGCAATTTAACTTCATTAAAATTCAAAATTTCATAACAATCAAAAATGTGTAAAAAGCTATCTTTGATTTTCAGTTTTAGATTCTAAAGTTATTTCAAATTTTTAATTGAATTGATCACTTCCTTGTGAATATTTCTTTCTCCTATATATCTGTAAAGCGTCAGTGATAAACTTTCCAACTAATTTAGTTAACAAAAGCATTTCCCTATTACATCAGGTTCTTATTACTTGATATTATTAAAAATACTTAATTTTAAGTTTAGAGATCTTAGATGTTTTAATGAATTGAGACCTTGGATGAATTCTTAACCATTATTTTATCCAAATTAATTTCCTTAATCTATTTTCAATTTAAGATGCTGAAGAGTTTAAATATTTTTTAGAATTTCAAACATTTTTGATATTCCTCTCTCTCCTAAAAAAATATTAGCTCCTATACAAATTGAAATATTTCTTAAATTTTCCATCTATTAGCAATAATTTTAAACATGAGCTAAATGATTTTACGCGTCTTAAGTTTTGTACACAAAAAATGAAATTTCATCTAAAAATTTACATTTTTGTATTTCTATTTCATTTCTTTCTTATGCGATAAAATCTGTAATTTGAATTTTTTTTATTTTTTACCTTTCCTCCATTATTTTTATTCACTATTTCACTTTTAATTAAATGTTCGTCTATTAAATAAAAATAACAAAAAATATCAAATACATATATTCATTTAATGTATTATTTTTATAAATTTCAGCATTTTAAAATTATTTTTTTATTTATTTAGAAAATTGAATATTAAAGAAAAAAAATGCTGTTTCAAAATTTTTGAATACAGCAATATAATAAATTAAAGTGTTTAAAAATGTATATCAAATAAATTTAAAAAATAAACTTCATTTTAAATCTCCATATATTCTAGAATTAACGGATTTAAAAAAATAAAATATTTTAAATCTATCAATTTTTTGGTTTATTTATCCATTACAAGACATTAGAAAATAAAATATATTATATTTTATTATTCAAATACGTTAATATTTATTAGTTTTTTTGCCACTTTTTAACATCAATATAACATTTTCAAGACAATTAATCTTTTTGATTTTAGAAACTTGCTTTTTACTTTCAATTATTATGAATTATTGATTTCATTTTCACTTTTAATATAAAATAAGTATTAATGACTAAAAAAAATAAATAAAATAATATTTTAAAATAAAAAATAAATAAAAGTGAGTAGTATAAAAATTTAAAGGAAAAATTAATCAAATTAAAACCTAATAAAATAAAATAAAAAATTAAAATATTTATTAATATTGCTTTAAATATATTTTTATATTTAAAAATATCTCAAACCAAAACAAATAAACTGTTTTTACTCAATATAAAGTGTCAAACTTGAGAGATTAGTGCAATTTCCTAAACCAGAACATAAGCCTGATGCACCTTCTACATTAATTATATTTGACCTTTTAAATATTGAAGAAAAATTATAAAGTTAATTAGTTTGTAAGAAGGAAAAATGAAGAAAAAATATGAAATAAGATAAGTAGAATAATGATAAATCAATAATAAGTAAATAAATAAATAAATAAAAAGAGTTAATTATATTATTTACAATTCATTTTCATATTAAAAAATATCATAATTCAAAATAAATAAAATGGTTTTAACCTAAGAAGAAGTTTCAAATTTGAGAGATTAGTGCACTTTCCTAAACCAGAACCTAAGCCTAAAGCGCCTTCTGCATCAATTTAATTGAAGCTTTTTAAATATTGAAGAAAACATAATTAGGTAATAAGGTAGTCAAAAGGAAAAATTATTTAATAATTAAAAATTAAATAGATCAAATAAAAAGTTAATAATGAATTGAATTAAAAGAGTTAGTTTCATTGTTTTAAATTCATTATTATATTAAAAAATATTATAATCCAAAACTAATGAACTGTTTTTACTTAAGATCAATTGTCAAATTTGAGAGAGTAGTGCTCTTTCCTAAACTAGAACCTAAATCTGATGGACCAATACCTCCAATTTCATTTTAGCTTTTAAATATTCAAGAAAAAATATATTTAATGAGTTAGTTTGAAAGAAAAAATGAAGAAAAAATATGAAATAATCAGAAATTGATTAATTAACAATAAAAGCAAAGTGAAAAAAAACAAAAGAAGAAAAAAAGAAAAATAAGTTAAATATGATTAAAAGATTTATTTTTATTGCTTTAAATTCATTTTATGTTAAAAAATATCACAATCCAAAACAAATAAATTGTTTTTACAGAAGATTTAGAGTCAAATCTGAGAGATTAGAGCATTTTCCTAAACCAGAACCTAAGCCTGATGCTCCAATCGCACCAATTTTACTTCCTCTTTATAAATATTTTAAAATATATATAGCTAATTAGTTAGTTAGAAGGAAAAAATGAAGAAAAAATATGAAATAAAAAAAATTAATTAATTAAAAATAAAAACAAAAGTTCAAAAAAGAAAATGAGTTAAATTAACAAACAAAAAAGAAGAAAAAACACAAGTAGAGTAAAAAAAAGAAAAATAAATCAAATAAAAACTAATAAATATATAAACTAAAAGAGTTAGCTACAGTGTTTTCAATTCATTTTCATATTAAAAATTAATAATCAAAAACAAATAAACTGCTTTTACCTTAGATCAAGTGTCAAATTTGAGAGATTAGTGCACTTTCCTAAAGCAGAACCTAAGCCAGAAGCACCTTCTGCACCAATTTAATTAAACCTTTTTAAATATTGAAGAAAAAATATTGAGTTAATTAGTAAGTTTGATGAAAATAATGAAGAAAAAATATGAAATAATAAGAAATAAATTAATAAAAAAAAGCAAAAGATGAAAATGAAAAATAAATGAGTTAAATTAACAAAGAAATAAAACATAAGAAGAGTTAAAAAAAAAGAAAAATACATTAAATAAAAAATGATAAATAAATTAAAAGATTTATAAATTAATTTTTTTATTTGAAGACAAATAAACTGTTTTTACTGAAAATGAAGAATCAAATTTGAGAGATTAGTGCATTTTGCTAATCCAAGACCTAAGCATGATGCACCTTCTGCTCCAATTTAGCTAAACCTTTTGAAATATTGAAGAAAAAGCAAAAAGTTAATTAGTTAATTAGAGTGAAAAATATGAAATAATAAGAAATAAAATAATTAATTAATAAAACGAATTTAAAATAAATAATGAAAATAAAGAAAAAAAAAAGGGTATCAGTATAAAAAAAGAAAAATAAATTAAATAAAAAAGCTAATAAATAAATTAAAAGAGTTAGTTAGTTAATGATATTGTTTAAATTCATTTTTATATTAAAAAATATCACCACCCGAAACTAATAAACTGATTTTACCTAAGATCAATTGTCAAATTTGAGATATTAGTGCAGTTTTCTAAACCATAACCTAAGCCTAATGTACCTTCTCCACTAATTTAATTACACCTTTTGAAATATCGAATTAAAAATATATAATTAATCACAATAAAAACAGTAATTTCCACACACCCCATTTGCACTTAAAATATGGTGCTCAGAATTAAGTGTGCTGAAAAATTTTAATGAAAGGGGGGTGAAATGAAATGAAATTTTTTATTTTTGTTAGTTAGAAGGAAAAAATAAAGAAAAAATATGAAATAATAAGAAATTAATTTATAAATAATAAAAGCAAAAGTTGAAAATAAAAAAATTAATTAAATTAACAAATAATGAAAGAAAGAGAGAAATAAGAAGAAAAAACAGAAGCAGAATAATAAAAAAAAATAAATTAAAAGAGTTAGTTACATAGTTATAAATTCATTTTTATATTCAAAACTAATAAACTATTTTTACCTAAAATCAATTGTCAAATTTGAGAGATTAGTACACTTTCCTAAACCAGAAAGTAAACCTGATGAACCTTAATCACCAATTTAATTGTATCTTTTTAAATATTGTAGAAAAAATATGTAGTTAAAGAATTAGTTAGAAGGAAAATATGAATAAAAAATATGAAATAAAAGTAATGAATTGATTTATTAATAATAAAATCAAAAATTTGAAATGAAAAAATAAGTTATTTTTACAAATAAACCAAAATTAAAATGCAGAATAAATAAAAAATTAAAAATAAATGAAATAAAAAACTTATAAATATTTAAAAGAGTAAGTTAGTTAAATTGTTTTAAAATCATTTTTATATTAAAAAATATTAATATCCAATTCAAATAAACTTATTTTACAGAAGATTAAGTGTTAAATTTGAGAGGTTTCTGCTCTTTCCTAAACCAGAACCTAAGCCTTGTGCGCCTTCTACCCCAATTAAATTAGATCTTTTTAAATATAGAAGAAAATATATAACTTAATTATTAGTTTAAAGGGAAAAAATATGAAATAATAAGAAATGAGTTATTTAATTCATAAAATAAAAGTTAAAAATAAAAAAATTTAGTTAAATTATCTAAAAATAAAAGAAAAAAAGACAAACAGAATAAATTAAAGAAGTAAAATAAATCAAATAAAAAAGAAATAAATAAATAAATTAATTAATTAAAAGAGATAGTCATAGTGTTATAAATTCATTTTTTTAAACCACAATCAAAAATAAATAAAATATTTTTACTCAAGATTAAGTATCAAATTTTAGAGTTTTGTGCAGTTTCCTAAACCAAAACCTAAGCCGGATGCACCTTCTGCGCCAATTTTATTGCAGCTTTTTAAGTATTTAACAAAAAATAAGAAATAATAAGAAAGGAATTAATTAATTAATAATAATAAAATATTGAAAATATGAAATGATTTATATTAACAAAGAAATAAAGAAATGAAAAAAAATGCAAACAGAATAAGAAAAAGAAAGAAAGAAAAATAAAATTAAAAATTAAAAGAATTATTTATATTGTTTTAAATTCATAAATAAACTGTTTTTACTGAAGATGAAGTATCAAATTTGAGAGATTAGAGCACTTTCCTAAATAATAACCTAAGTCTGATGTACCTTCTGAACCAATTTAATTAGACCTTTTTAAATATTGAATAAAAATATATGATTATTTATTTAGTTAGAAGGAAAATGTAGAGAAAAAATATAAATTATAACAAAAGAATTAATAAAAAAAGTTTAAAATAAAAAAATTAATTAAATTAACAAAGAAAGAAAGAAAAAATATAAGCAGAATAAAAAAAGAAAATAAACCAAATAGAAAGCTAATAAATAAATAAATTAAATGATTTAGATACATTGTTTTAAATTCATTTTTATAAGTAAAAATATTACAATTAAAAATAAATAAACTGTTTTTACCTAAGATCAAGTATCAAATTTGAAAGATTAGTAATCTTTCCTAACCCAGAACTTAAGCCTAATGCACCTTCTGCACCAATTTAATTAGAACTTTTTAAATATTGAAAAATAAATAATTAATTTGTTAGTTAGAAGAAAAAAAAGAATAAAAATACAAAATAATAAGAAATGAAAAAATTAAGGAATTTTTTAAGCAAATGTTGAAAATGAAAAAATGAGTTAAATTAACTAAGAAATTAAGAAGAAGAAGAAAAAAACACAAGTAGAATAAAATAAAAAAATAAATCAAAAAAAAATTAAATTAAAAGAGTTATTTATATGTCTTAAATTAAAATATCACAATCGTAAACGAATAAAGTGGTTTTACTTTAAATCAATTGTCAAATTTGAGAGATTACTGCAATTTCCTAAACCAGAACCGAAAGTTGATGCACCTAAATCACCAATTTAATTACAGCTTTTTAAATATTGAAGAAAAAATATTTAGCTAACTACAAGGAAAATAAGAAATTAATTGATAATAAATGCTAAGGAAAATAAAAATGAATAAATTAAATTTACAAAAAAATAAGTAGAGAAAGAAAAAAATAATAAACTCAACTAAAATAAAATAAAAAAATGAAAAATAAATAAATAAATAAAATATAACACTTATAAATAAATTAAAAGTGTTAGCTTCATTGTTTTAAATTCATTTTATTTTCAAAAATATCACAACTCAAGAAAAATAAATAAACTGTATTTACCAAAGATCAAGGGTCAAATTTTAGAGTTTAATACTCTTTCCTAAACCTAAACCTAAGCCTGATGCACCTTCATCGCAAATTTAATTTTTCCTTTTTAAATATTGAGTTAATTAGCTAGTTAAAATGTAAAAAAAATATGAAATAATAAGAAATTAAATAATTATAAAAGCAAAAGTTGAAAAATAAAAAATGAGGTAAATTAAAAAACAAAGGAATAAAGAGAGAAAATAATAAAAACACAATTAGAATATATAAAAAACAAAAATAAAATAAATAAAAACCTAATAAATGAATAAAAGAGTTTATTAGTTATATTATTTTATGTTCTTTTTTTTATTAAAAATATCACAATCCAAAACAAAGAAACTGTTTTTACTGAAGATAAAGTATCAAATTTGAGAGGTTAGTACCCTTTCCTAAACCAGAACCTAAGCCTAAAGCACCTTCTGAACCAATTTCATTTGAGCTTTTTTAAATATTGGTGAAAAGATAAAAAATATGAAATAATAAGAAATGAAAGAACTGATTTTAAATAAAAGCAAAAATTTAAAAAGAAAAAATGGTTAAAATTAAAAAAGAATGAAAAAAACGAAAAAACACAAGTTAAATAAAAAAAAGAAAAATAAATCAAATAAAAAACTAATAAATAAATAAATTAAAAATATAATTATTTTGTTTTAAATTCTAATTATATTCAAAGTATCACAATCCAAAATAAATAAACTGTTTTTACATGAAATCAAGTGTCAAATTTGAGAGATTAGTACATTTTCCTAAACCAGAACCTAATCCTGATGCACCTACTGCACCAATTTGATTAATTCTTTTCAAATATTGAAGAAAAAATATTTAGTTAATTTTTTAGTTGTTAGAGTTGTTAGGAAAAAAAGAAGAAAAAATATGAAATAGTTAGAAATTAAATTAATAATAAAACAAAAGTTCAAAATAAAAAAGGAATAAAATTAATAAAGAAAAACAAATAAGTTAACTAAAAACTTAAAAATTAATTAATTAAAAGAGCTAGTTAGTTGTATTGTTTTAAATTCTTTTTTATATTAAAAAATATCACAATCCAAAATTAATAAACTATTTTTACTTAAGATCAATTGTCAAATTTGAGAGATTAGTGCTTTTTCCTAAACCATAACCTAAGCCTCGTGCACCTTGTTCGCCAATTTAATTAGATCTTTTTAAATATTGAAAATAAATTATGTAGTTAATTAGTGTAGAATGAAGAAAAAGTAATAAATAATAAGAAATTAATTAATTAATAATAGTTGAATTTTAATTTGAAAAGAATGAGTTTAATTAATAAAAAAAGGAAGAAAAAAAAAACACAACTAGAATGAAAAAAATAAAATAAAATATTATAAAAAAAACAAAAAACAAATTTAAAAAGCTATTTATATTGTTTTAAATTCATTTATTTTTAAAATATCACAATCCAAAACAAATAAACTTTATTTACTTAAGATCAAGTGTCAAATTTGAGAGATTAATACACTTTCCTAAACCGGAACCTAACCCTAAAGCTCCTTCTGCACCAATTTAATTAGACCTTATTAAATATTGAAGAAAAGATATATAATTAGTTATATAGAAGGGAAAAATGAAGAAAAAATATAAATAATAAGAAATGAATTAATTAATAATAAAAGCAAAAGTTGAAAATGAACAAATCAGTTAATTATAAATAAAATAAAAAGTGAAAAAAAGAGCTAAATTAACAAAAAAAGGAAAGAAAGAAAAATAAATCAAATCAAAAACTTAAAGATAAATTCAAAATTTATTTATTTTGTTTTAAATTCATTTTTATATTAAAATATCAGAATGCAAAACAAATAAACTTTTTTTACTCCAGATTAAGTATCAAATTCGAGAGATTAATGCACTCTCCTAAGCCATAGCCTAAGCCTGATGCACCTTCTGCACCAATTTAATTAGACCTTTTAAAATATTGAAGCAAACACATATAGTTAATTTGTTAACAGAAGGAAAAAATGAAGAAAAAATATGAAATATTAAGAAACGAGTTAATTAATAAATAAAAGCAAAAGGTTGAAAATCAAAAAATAAATGAGTTTTAATTTAGAAAGAAAGAAAGAAAAAAAAACAAGCAGAATAAAAAGTAAGAAAAATAAATCAAATTAAATAATTAATAAATAAACAAATAAATTAAAAGAAATAATTATATTGTTTTAAATTCATTTTTATATTTCAAAAATATCGCAATCCAAAATAAATAAACTGTTTTTACATTAAATCAAGTGTCAAATTTGAGAGATTAGCACACTATGCTAAACCAGAACCTATATCTGAAGCTCCTGCACCAATTTAATTATACCTTTTTAAATTTTTAAAAAAATAAAATAAAATTTAATTAATTTGTTAGTTAGTTAGTTAGATAAAAAAAATAAGAAAAAAATTATTAATTAGCTATAAAAGCCTAAATTTAAAATGAAAAAATAAGTTAAATTAACAAAGAAAGTAAGAAAACACTATCAAAATAAAAACAATACAAAAATGAAACAAATAAAAAGCTAATAAATAAATAATTTTAAAAGAGTTAATTAAATTGTTTTAAATTTGTTTTTAATTCTAAAATATCAGAATTCAAAACAAATAAATAAGCTGTTTTTACCTAAGAAGAAGTATCAAGTTAGAGAGATTAGTGCACTTTCCTAAAGCAGAGCCTAAGCTTGATGAACCTTGTGCACCAATTTAATTAGATCTTTTATTTATTTAAGAAAAAATATAAAATAATAAGAAATGAATTAATTAATCAATAACAATAATAATAAAATTAAAAAAAAGTTGAAATTGAAAAAATGAGTTAAATTAACATAGATAGAAGTACAGAAAATAAAAAAACACAAGTAGAATTAAAAAATAAGAGAAATAAATCAAATAAAAAAAATGTAATAAATAAATAAATTTATTAAAAGAGATAGTTATATTGTTTTAATTCATTTTTATATTAAAAAATATTACAAAAATAAATAAATAAACTATTTTACTCAAGATGAACTATCAAATTTAAGAGATTAGTACACCTTCCTAAACCAGAACCTAAGTTTGATGAACCTTCTGAACCAATTTCATTCGACCTTTTTAAATATTGAGGAAAAACAAACATATAGTTAATTTGTTAGCTGGAAGGAATAAATATGAAATAATATGATACCAATTAGTTAAAAATAAAATCAAAAGTTAAAAATGAAAAAACAGATTAAATTATTAAAAAAGAAAGAAAAAAAAATAACAATCAGAATAAAAGAATTATAAATAATAAATAAATTAATTTTTATAAAATTTAACTTCTATTATTAATTAGTTTTTATATTAAATAATATAAACAGTTTTTACCTTAGATGAAGTGTCAAATTTGAGAGATTAATGCACTTTTCTAAACAAAAACCTATATCTGATGCTCCTTAATCGCCAATTTAACAGTAACTTTTTGATATTGAAGAAAAAATATATTGCTAGCTAACTAGTTAATTTGAAGAAAAAAATCAAGAAAAAATATGAAATAAATAATAAGAAATGAATTAATGAATTAATTAATAATAAGTACAAAAGTTTAATTTAAAAAATTATTAAATTAACAAAGAAAGAAAGAAAGAAAATAAGCAGAATTTAAAAGAGAAATAAATAAAATAAAAAACAAATAAATAAATTAAAAGAGTTAGCTATTTTAATTATTTTAGATTAATTTTTATATTAAAAAATTTCATAATCTAAAATAAATAAACTGATTTTACTCAAGATCAAGTGTTAAATTAGAAAGATTAGCGCACTCTTCTAAACCGGAATATACACCTGTTACACCTTCTGAATCAATTTAATTTTAATTGTAGCTTTTTAAATATTGAAGAAAAAAAAAATTTTTAAGTAGTTAGTTAGAATGAAAAAATAAACAAAAATTATGAAATGATAAGAAATAAATTAAATAATTAAAAATAAAAGCAAAAGTTGATTATGAAAAAATGAGTTAAATTTAAATATAGAAAAAAATTAAAGAAAGAAAAAAAATCCATTGAATTTTTAATATTGAAATATTGCAAAAAAAGTAAAGAGTTAATTAGTTAGTTAGAAGGAGTAAATGATAAAAAAATATTAAATTTAAAAAGGAATAATTAAAAATTAAAATTGACTTAAAATTAGGTTAAAATAATTAAAAAATATTTGAGTTAATAAAATGATTGAATATGGGTTTGAATTTATATTAGAAAAATATTATGGTAAATATACTTGAAAATTAAATGTAAAAAAAATATTTATAAATTAAACATACCTAACAGTATAGAGAAACTAATGCGAGTAAAGTGAAGAGTTTAAACATTTTTTGATTAATAAAAATAATTTTAAAGAATATTAATATAAAAACAAATATTTACTTCTTCTAGATTAATGAAATAGTTATTTTATAATATCATTTATTTTTTTTTCTTCTTCAAAAATATTGAAAAGTGATTTATTGATTTTTAATTAAAAATATATTTTTTATTAATTTTTATATCAAATTAATTAGGAAAAATGGAACAAATAAATTGTATGTAATACTAATAATAATTTATAAATTTGTTTTTAGGAAGGTAGATATTTCAAAAAAATATTAGCGTAAAATTCATTATTAAATCTTAATTTTTCTATTTTAAAACATAAGCTTAAAAATAAATAAAGATAAGTTTACAGCTGTATAGCTGCACCTTATTGACACTTATATCGTTATCCCTAGCTTAATATCACTTCTAATGATGAGGTATATGATGGATTAAATAAATAATAATTTACAAATTTTGTATAAATTATTTTCGTATCATTTAAACTATTTAATTTGTATAATAATTTTTGTTATTTTTGTAAAAAGAAATTAATGTAAATTGAGGATTTATTTTTTAAATTTATTTTAATTTACTAAAAATTAATTTTTGAAAACTCTTTGTAATCAATTTTCTAATTATCTGCACAAAAACATATAAAATATAATTACAGTAAAAAAAAAATCGATATTACTTTTAGAGTATTTTTTAAAGTTAGCAGCTTTATTTCAGAAAATGAAAATTAATGATAATAAAGCAGCAAAAATGCTAAGTATAACTGAATAAGTAGTACAGGTTGAGCTAGCTCCTGCAGTTTGAACTGGAGTTCCTTAGTAACCAGATTTGCATGTACAAGTATTAACAGTGGAACTTAAAGGGTTAGCATTTGAATCAAAGCAGGTACAAAAACCAGTAGAAGCTTAAATTGATTTTGTTGTAGAATTTGCAGGGCATTGAGTACATGTGGGGGGAGATTATTGATTTGCAGGAGCAGCGGCATAGTAATATCCGATCATGCAAGCATTGCAAGCACCTTAATTAGAACTGGCTGTTGTTAATTAAGTTGCAGGAGTTGAATTTCCATTGCATTAAGTACATTGAGCAGCATTTGAACCTTATGCAGCAGTTGAAACATAGTAACCTGCTACACAAATATTGCAAACTGAAGGATTGACGCCTCCGGCTGTATTTGGACCAGGTGTAGAAGAAGTATTATTAGGACATTGACTGCATGAACCAGTTCCAGCAGATGCATCAGTACCATAGTATCCAGCGTTGCAATTGCATTTACTGCTATCAGAACTTGGAGAAGCATTTGTTGCACAGTTGAGTGCAGTAGCGAATCCAGCTAAAGCTAAAAGGGTAGCAAGTACTAAGAATTTATTCATTTTTATGGTTTTTTCTCTAATTTAGTTTTATTGATTATTTTATTTTTAATTATTATTATTGTTTATCAACTTAAGTTGAATTTACATTTAAATAAAATATTACAAAAAGTGTAATTTTAAATTCTAGTTAATTGCTTAGAAATAGAAAAAAAAGTAATCAAATCAAATCAAAATTAATTAAGTAATTAATTTTTTTAAGTTTTAAATAAATGCTTACATAAATTTATTTGATAAAATCTAAATGAAAAATATTAACATAGAAATATTTATAAATATAATATTTATCAATCCATCTATAACTAAAATATACAAGAATTAAAAATTCAAAACTTTTTTTTATTTTTAAGGATATATAAAATATATTTAAGAATTAATTGTTTACTGCAAATTATCATTAACTCCACTTCTCCCACTTATTTTTTGCTCTATATTTGGTCCTTATAAAATTTTTGAATAGTTAGTTATAAAAAAATGAAATATTAAAATATCTATTTCAAAAAATACAATATATATTAAGAGTAGAAAAATTAAGTAAATTTATGTTATTTTAATATTTTTAATAAATTTTAAATTTAAATTTGTAATCAGATTTAAACAGTTTTGATTAAATTCTTAGTTATACACAAAATTAAATAAATACCTTCTAAAATATGATATTATTATTTTGTTGCTTTGATATACATTTATTAATATTAATTATATGCTTTATTGAATAGAATAATATTATTTCAATTAAAATATAGTCTTTAATTCAATAATGATTTTTTTCAAGTTTAATATTATAGTGTCAAAAGAATTTATTTATTTTAGTGATGTATAATTCAGTTTAGTATTTAACGAATTGAATAGATTTATTAGTTCATTAATTAATTATTTAGATCGAAATATAAAAATAAACAAGTAAATAACTTATTATTAAATGTAGTAAAAAGTAAATTAAATTTATTTTACGCAAGGAAGAATGAAATATCTTCTTCAAAATAAAAAATTTATTAAGCAAAATATCAAAAAATGATTTTATTTTTATCTTTTAGAAGAACTTTTTCTTATTATTAAAACTGAAAATAATTATTCATTCATCATTCATTAGAAATTTATTTTCAAATGAATGTTTTTTTGTATTTGAGATAAAATAATGGTATAAAAAAATAAATTTTTGGCAAAATAAATAAAACAATCATTAAAATAAATAGTATTTTCCTCAAATTTAAATAATTCTAATTGTTTTAAATATTATTTGGAGAGTTAACATACTTTGTGTATCTTTACTGAGAAGCTTATTTATTTTATCATTCAAATATAGAGATATATTATTAGTATTTTTGAGAAACTACTATACTTATCAAATAACTAAATTATAGTTTTGACTGATTTTACATTATTTTTCAAATTAATTATTACATTATTTTACAAAAAAATATATGTTAATATCTCTATGTTAAATTATATGAAAGATGTTAAAATTAAGTATTACTGAATAAATAATTCAATAAGAAACTTATTTTTATAATATAATAAAGTATTAGCAGTTAAATTCATTATAAAATATAAAAAAATTATATAGAAGTTATTAAGTTTAAATATTAAGGTATAATAGGTTTAGAAATATAGTTAGTTCAAAAACTAATATTTTCGCAATTGTTAGGGTTAATTAGTTTTCATTTTTATATGCATCTTTTCAAAAAAATATATTTGCGATTATTGAAAAGGATCCTCAATTTGTGCAATAAATATGTCTTGGGAAATTATTTCTAAATTTAATATTCTATTAGGATTATATAAGATTAATTATCTTGTTTTAAATAATATTTATTATTAGAATAAATCCATAATGAATATAGTTAATTGATTTATCATCGATGAGATAGAATAAAAAAGTTATGTGAATAAGTATTTATTTGTTTAGTAAAAAATGATATTATAAGATGAGAAAAATAAATTTTAATGAGTAGAAGATAAAATGGTATTTAAAAATTCATATTATTTCATTTATTTTTAATAAGGTTAGATTTTAATATTTATATATTATTCTAATTCATTATTCAAATTTTATTACTTTCATGCTTAATAATGTAAAAATTAATTATTATTATTATTTATGAGATTTAGAACTAAATATATTTTATTTATTTATTTAAAAATAATTTTATTAGCTATAATTCAAGCTTACATTAAATTCTTTTTGAATAGTTTCAAATTTTTTATATTTAAAGTTGTTATTGGTTATTCTATTTGAATAAGATCAAATGTGATTTAAGATATAAATAATCATAATTGAAGATTAAAAAGCCAACTATTCTTTCTTAAATAAAAAAAATATTTTTATTAATTTATTTATTGTTGGATTGAATTTAACTTTAATTCTATTTTTATTAAGTATTTCAATTAAAAGCAAAAAAAAAAATTAAAGTAAAAATAATTCAACAAAACTTATTATTTATTAAGTACCAGAGGCCTTTTTCAAGGCTATATACACAAATTTTTACAAATTAAATTATTAAATTGTTTTATCTAAAAAATAAAAATTAAATATTGAACAACTCTATTTAGTTTTAATATCTGAGAAATTATAGTGTTTTAAAATTTATAAATTAATTTTAAATAATAAAAATAATTATCAATAATCAGCTGCATTCAAACCACTATTTTTTTTTTTCAGTATGAATTATTAAGTTGCTTTTTTAATATACTACTAATCTCAATTTATTAGTTAAATTTTGAGGATATAATTTGTTAGCTTATGAGAATTAGAAATCAATTGTATTTAAAAATTTTTAAAGTATTATATTATTTTTAACTCATCAAATAAAGCCTTTTAATTGTTACTTAATTACTTTATTTTAAATACTAAAAAAAATTAAAAGTAAATTTGATTTAAAAAAATATTACTAAACTTAATTGATGGATTGCTTTATTTTTAAAATGCTATCTAAGAATTCCCCATTATAGTTATGATTTTTGAATTGCTTTTTACTTTTTTTTGCTCAAAAATAATATCTTGTTTAATTAATCTTTACTCAAAATATTAAACAGTATCCTGATAAATAAATTTAAATTTATGAGAGCAATAGCTACTCCGCAAATAATCTATTCTATAAAATTTTAACTTTGTATTGCCTAATTTAAGAATATAACTAATGTTATAGTGATTACTGAAGTATCCATTTGTATTGTACACAAATTTTCTATATTTTGACTGTTAAAAGGATTTTCTATATAATAAAAATAGTTTTATAAATAAATAAATAATAATTTATTGAATTAATTACATGTGAAGTTTATTAATTTTTATGATAAGCTTACTGAAATCAAAAAAGTAATCTTAATTGTTGAATTTTAAAAGTCAAAACTTAATATCAAAATAACAAAGAAAATTTATATCTATCTAAACATATCCCAGAAATAAGCATGACTTATTTTATAGCCATGTGTAAATTGGCTAAAAGCAAAAACCACAAATTAAGTATAAAAGTATTTTTTAATAACTATAGCAATAAGAAAAGGTATGATAAGAGCAATAATAAAAAAAGCAGGTAAGAATAAACATAAAGTCCATTTATAATGTTAAGAATCACACATCAAAGAAGTTGAATAACTCACATATCTTGCTCCATCGTAAGTGGCACAGTTCATCTAAATATAATTATATACAAATATATAAACACTTTTTATTATTCAAAGATTTTTATAAATTTCGTAAAACAAAATTTTACAATACAACTCATTTATTTAGTTGTTGGAAATTGCAAAATTTATATTTATAAATTTAAAAATTTGGAAATGAAATATAAATTTTTATTTAAATTATTTACGTTAGCCGCTATGATTTGAATGATAGAAGGTGAATAAACAATAAAATTTAAAGAAGAAATATATGTCATTAATTCAATTTTATATTTTAGAATAAACTTGTACATGTAATTTCTTCTTTTCATTTTAGAGTAAAAATAGAAAAACAAAAAAGTAAAAGCAACAGTGAAAAAGCTTATAGCTATTAAGTGAATAATTGAAGTAGCAACTCTGGCATAAGAAACAGGTATCACATTTATGAGACAATCGAATGAGCGAAATATATATTCATTTTATCTTGTTAAGCATATCAAGATAAAGGTAAATGGCCATGGTAACTAAAGTTCTAATTATGTCAGCATAAAAAGGATTTACAAATAACAAAATAAAATTTTAACACTAATTATTCTTTTTTATTCTTCAATTTAGCTAAGTTTATTTCTAAAATTAATGAATTCAGTAATAAAATTTTTTTTTGATAATTAATAGCCTATATTAGAATAATTTATCCAAGTTATAAATATGATCCAACAAATTAAAATTGCTATTAATGATTAAATAATTATTCCAATCATAATAGTTTGTAAAATATTCTCTCTATTACATCTATTTAATTAAATAAAATTATTTTTATTTCTTTCAAATGATAATTCATATTTTACTTTTAACAGCCATATTATTAGAATCTCATGTATTTTTCACCCCAATATGCTCCTTCATAGTCACAGTCCTCACAAAAAAATCCTACATTACCTTTTATCCCAAAATTTGTTACAGTTTTAAAAAATTAAATCAATAAATAAAAATTAATTAGATATTTAATCAATTTAGAAAAACATAAAATGATTGAAAGATTTTTAATAGAAATAAATATCTTCTCATTAACTAACTTACTCTCTCTTTAAAAAAATTTCAAAAGTTTATGAATAGAAATAATTTAATTCATTAACTAAAAATTGAAGAGAGTGAAATAAGAACTTAAAATAAATGTTAAATTATTTATGAGATAAATAATTAAAGACAAGATTAAATATTAGTAGAATACCTTCAACACAGTAGTAGATATTCCAATTAGTATTTCTTAGATTATTAATAGGAGAGTTATCCCTTGAAATATCTCCTACACAATTACTTGGCCAATTACTACACTCACTGATTTAATCAGTATTATTATCTCTTCTAAAGTATCCATCTGGGATTTAAATATTATTCTTTTAGCATTTATATAAACTTGATTAGCATTTTTTGCATTCAGCCTATCCAGGCTTCAGATTGTAAGTTTTATCAAGGCAAGGTATACATGTATCATAGGTATTATTTATTTTTGAGCTTCGATAGCCTATAGGACATTCGCTTACTATTGAAAATTCCATCTCAAAAGTTATGTTTTATTTAATTGAAATAATATCTCCTTTTTGATAAATAGCCTGCTTTACTTTATTGCAAGATAATAAAATTTTAGATTTTTAACTGAACTTGCCATAAACACTCAAACCACTTAAATCAAATACATTATTATTAAAATTTATCACTTAATCCATTAGTATTAAATTATTCTTTTCATTACTTTATACTTAAACTGTTCTAATTTCTAGCAAGATATCTTTAGAAATATTATTTTTGTAAATTTATTTTATGTCATTCATCAAATAAACTATAAATGGAGTCTAGTTGATTTTAAATAATAAAAAATCATTTTTCAGTTTTAGTTAAATTTATAAAAAATTAAAAAAATTATAAAAATTGAATTAAATTTGATTTAAATTAAAAAAAAATGTTTATGAATTAGTTGATTTACATTAATTTTACCAGAAAAAAGATAAATAGTTTGATTTTATTTGATGAAAACATTGTCATAGTAAACTTAATAAAATATAGGAAATCCAGATAAATCAGATCCAAAAATTTAGGCATTATTGGCTAATATAAAACTATTATCTATTTAAGGAAGATTAAACGAAGAATAATAGCCACCACCATTTTAAGCTTTGTTATAAACTATATAACTATTCTACAGTAAAATATTTGTTAATTAATATAAATTGAATAGTATTGGGTCGTTATCAAGCAATTGTTCTTAAATTATATTATATATTCCTCCTCCTGATTCATGAGAAGTGTTGTTACTTAAAGTCGAATTTATGATAATTGCATATATGTTCAATAAATAAATACCTCCACCATTTTTTTGAGAAGTGTTATTTTTAAAGCTATTATCAAACAACTAAACAGTTTTTATTGGACTTTTAGAGCTTTCCAGAGATCTTTTATTTACTTGAATTTAATTTTAGTTTATTGGTGATTATATATAGATACCTCCTCCGTTTTAGCAAATGTTATTTTAAAACAAAGAATTGCTAATATATGCCTCATTACCAACTTCAATGTTAATATTACCGTTGCTGCAATTTTTACAAATTAAATTATCTACTAAAATACTATTTAAATTTATTGTTTTTGCAAATAATTTTATTATTTGAGTATTTAATTAAAACGATTAAAGTTATAGAAATTTAACAGAATATAGAGCAATACTGTTTGCTTCTATATGAATTATCTCATCATTTGTAATGGTCTGCTAGTATTCTGAAAATGAATCAACATAGGACAAAGTGTTGAAAACATAAACTACCACAGGAAGATTCAATTCAATTAAATTTTATTAATCACTATACAAGTCTATTAATTGAGCTGTTTATTGAAATTAAAAGTTTGTTATAGTTATCAGAGTAGCATTGCTGATATAAATATAATAATATTACTAAATTTAAGCATTGTTTGAATTTAGACATGAGAGCATTTATTATATTTTATCTTACATATTTTATATTGTATTTTGGATTTAACAATCCTAGAATTCAACATTTATAACCTAGTCTTAAAACCCATCGAAATATAAAATTATTGATTGCAGAATTGAAAAATTATTTTCAAATTTTACTAAGTTAAACTTGATAAATGTTTTCGCATTCGTTTTTTCTATGTAAAATATTGCTCCCTAGATAGCAAAGTTGTTGAAAAAGAGGCTATTTTCAATTGAAATATCTAAATAATTAGCCAAATTTGTTTAAATGTAAACAGTACCACCCATACTATAAATATTATCAATGTATGCAGAGTTACTATCAAATTAACTGTTTCGTATAAGCAACTAGCCTTAGTTAGTAATGCACGCATAAATTGCTCCTCCGTTAATTGCTTATTAACCTGTAAATGAAGAGTTTACAATAGAAATTTAATCAGCTTGCAAATACATGAAACCTCCTTTAAGATTATAATTGGTTTTTTAATTTCCCAAGGTTTAAAATTAAGAATTTAAAACTTAAACAACTTAGCACACAATATAAAAAACTGGCTTAGTTAGCTCTGTTTGGTTATCAATAAAATCACCTCCTATTATTTTTAAACTCCCATAGCTAAAAATGTTGAAACCAGGACTAGTCTATAAGTATTAAACCTAAAAAATAATTTTTATAAAAAAAAATAATTAAAACTCTTAAAATAAATAAAAAATATTAATTAAAAAGCATAATTCTTTGAAAAAGGATATTTTTTTAGAAAACTTTAACAACTAAAAAATGTTTATAAAAAATAATTTTAAATACAAAAAATAAATTACCATAGTCGAAACTAAACTGTATTATTGATTTTCTCTTAAAATACAATTTACAATACTGATTTCTGCTCTAACTCTGTTTTAGATAATAAATAATCCGACGTTATTAGTTTTTTGTGATACAACAAACTAATTTTAGTAGGCTTCTAAATTTTGAATATTTAATTGCAAAGATAATTTGTGTTGAGAAGTATTTATAACTGTAAAAATGGTTGCAGTTGTTAGAGTATTTTAAACGAGTACTTTTAATATTTTTAACTGATTCATTGTATTTATAATTTAGAATTAATCAACTAAAAAGGTCTAAATACCAGTGACTGTTCCATCTATTACCTATACACTTTGAATGCTATTTAGAATAAATACACTCGATAAGTATGTATTAACAATTTTAAATTTAGTAAAAACAAATTATAAAGCTGACGTAACTTCTATGAAGCTATTTCGTGATAAATCGCTAAAAATATTGTCTATTTCAACAGTAAATATATTAATTTTAATAGAATCAGCTGGAATCTACAAATTTCCTTTAAGTTTAAAAAGTAGCCCTTAGTTTGTAGAAATGGTGTTGTTTTTAAAATAAATGCCAGATAAGTAATAATTAAAGATAGCATTGTAAATAGTATTAGGTTAGGAATAATGCTCAAATAAATTGTAATTTTAAAATTTATTATTTATAATATCAATCAAAGAAAGCCATAATTTATTCTATTAAAACAAAGAACTTTCATCTTATAAACTTGTAAGATTATTATTGAGGAAAGTAATGTTATTAATCTAATTCATTTCAAAGAAGTTATAAGAAAATATTTAGCTTTTAGACTAGATATCGCAATTATTTATATTTATGTTATTCCACTACAGATACGCACTAGTGTTTGAATAGTAAGATTATATGTTTAAGAATAAGCTGCTATTTAAAAATTAAGATTCCTAAATAATAAAATTATCAAATTCTATATACAAATTTCCTGCTAATAGCTTTACTAAAGATGCTTTTTTGAAATTCGTCTATTTTATTAATTTAATAATTATAATATTTATTTTTAAAAATAAGGTAATTCCTTATTTACTAAAAATGTTAAAAATTAAAATTTTTTAAATTCTCTTTGAATTTTGTAGAGTTTTGTAATTATAAGAAATTAATAATAAATAATGAGTAGAATAAAGAGAAATTATACTTGATTAAAAATATAAAAATAAATTACATTTGTAAGAGTAGAGTTTGAAATTATGAAGAGTAATCTTTGTCTTAATTGTATGTCAGAATTAAAAATCAATGTAAAGAAATCATTATTTTAAATCTAAAAGCCTTTTATTATAACATTACTTAAATTAAGAAATCCTGATAAATTATTGATTTGAAAAATAAAATTATTATCTGCTGCGAACTGATTGGTAAATTTAACATTTGTAAAGCTAACTTTGTTAGTAATAGAATTATTTATTTAGAATCCAAACTAGTATTCATTTGAATTATATTTTTAAGTTTAAAGTTCTATATTTAAAAAATTAACTTCAGTGAAACCTTGAATTACTATCGGGTACTTTGAAATTAATGTCAATTCATTTGTTTAGTAGTTCATTATAGTTAAAGAAAACCTGTTAAGAGTTAATATGAAATTTAATATCGATTATTATATTGAGATTTACTAACTTATTTAACACATATTACCCAGCAATATAATTTGTATGTCCATAAATTCGACTGACATCTCATTATAGAAAATATAATATTTAGCAATGTCTGATTAATTTATTATCAATTGATTCCAGTTAATTTCAGAAGATCTCTATATATTTAATGGGTCCTGTATTGTTCCACTTCCAATGGAATCTCTGATATTTCCACAAATAGCATAAATTTACCTTACCTTCAATTCGTATGTGCAACCCTAATCTAATTTATTACATAAAACACACCTCTCTCTGTAACTATCAAATCTCCATTCATAATTTTTTTATTCTCCTTAAGGTATAATTTAAGGTATTGTCAAATTTGGTTTGCAAACCTTGCACTTAGATTTGTATATTAAATATGGATTTACGCTAATATCTCCTCCTTTCTCGCATACTTAGCAACTAATATTTTAATAAATAAACATAATTAATTAAAATCTTAAGAATTAAATTTATACGAATAAGGACATAGATGACAAGCAGCATGTTAAGAATTTAGATTGATCATTAAATTAATATCTAGATAGTCATTTTAGTTGTGAAATAATGAAATATATCCTATAATGTCCTAAATCTGATAAAGTAAATAGTTATTATTGCATTAAGTACAAGCAAGCCTAGTATTTTGATAAACCTCGCATGTTAAACAAGATACATCGCAATTCTTCAAAGTGCATAAGTTACTTTAACTATTTAAATAATAGTTTTATGAACAGGAAGTACAATGAAACTTGAAAATATTATTCAAAACAAATTTCTTGCGATCTTATAAAGAGTAAAATGGTAATATGTATTATAATTAATCAGTTTAGTTAATGGTACCATCACCTTTTTATTAAATAATATTATTGAATATCTATAAATTGTTGATAATTTTACTCAAATAACAATCTAAGCATCCTTCTGGACATTAAATACACCCTTCTAAACTTATGATATAATTTTATTTGCACTAAGTACATTAAAAGACTGTACTATCATTGTAAGAATAGCAAGTCTCACATTTATTTATCTATTTATAATAAGAAAATATAAATTTAGTTTATTATTTGTTTTTAAAATTATTTACATTTTAAGAACAAGTACTGACATTAGTGTTGTCAAAACTAACCTTGTAGTTTTAATCATAATTGCATTGTGTTTGCTTACATTACACACAGTTTAAAAATTTACTATTTTAATCGAATATTGGCTAAACACAATTAAAGAGTATTTGATTTATTTCTGACTAGAATAAATTTAATTTAGAAGATAAACAATCTCTAAAATCTCTATAATTTAAGTAATAGGTATAGCAAACACTTTTACTTTGCAAACAAGAATAGTTTAAAATATTATAAAACTGATTATTGCATAGATAGCAGTAAGGTCTTGATTATCTATTTAACCCCCATGATCCAATAGATAAAATGTAAGGTATAGAACCAGGAACAATAATTTAGTTAAATTCAACAGAGCAATAAGGAATAACTTTAGCTTCACAGTTTACATCATCTTAATTTTAATTCAAATATAAGTTATTAACAAAAATTAGTTTTTAAAATTTAATAAAATATTTTTAATTCAAATTGATAATTTTGTAATTTAAGATTTTTTAATTAATTTTCAACATTCTTTTATAAAATATTAGCAAAATTTTTATCACAATTAAAATAAATTCTTTAGAGAAAAATTTTTTTGTTGCAATATTGTTAATTTGTTTTCGTTTTATTTTGATATTAAATTTCTAATTAGATTTCAATCAAAAATAAATGTTATTTGATCTAAATTAATATAATCATTTTTTACCGTTTTTAAATTTATATGAGGAGTTAATACATTCTAGACACTTGTAAACCAGATTTACATTTTTAAAGAATTTTTAATCAAAATTTAATGCTGCATTGTGATTATAATTTGGAAAACCTATTAATAAAACAATTAAAAATATTTAAATTTTTAAATAAAGAGAAAATAAATGCTTTATTTTGAATTACCTGTATAGCAGTTTATACATTAATAGCCACAACTAACACAAGTATCATAGACTTAATTTACTGTAAAACCTTGAGCACAGATAGTGCACTTCAATGTGTATTCCTCACTTGTCAATTTACTCATAAAATCATTTGTATAAATATTTTATATGTCACTCCAAACTACACTATTTCCAGCATAAAATCCTCCAAAAATACATTTTAAGCAATTTTAAGGGCATTTAACACAAATACCATCATAACGAAGAGTATATCCAGCATTGCATTTCATGCAAACATTTTGATTATTTGCTTAGTTGAAGAAGCAAGAAGTGCAAGAGCTTTGACCTTTTTAAGTATATAAATTAATTACAAAAGGAAACTTTTATCTAATGAAATTTACAGCTATTGTTTTCTCTGTATGTAATTTATTTGCTGATTTAAACATTTTATTGAGAAAACTGTAAGAAAAAACCTTTTTAGGGTATATATTCAGTAGTAATATGAACTCCACTAGTGTTTATTTCATATTGTATCAATTGTTAACAGTTTATTATACCTTTTTAGTCATATTGTATTCTATATTATATTTAGTCATATTATTCTACTTATTGCTATGAAAGAGGAAAGTCATATACAAGAGATTTAGGTAATACCCTTTTAAAAATTAATTAAATATTAGCTTATAAAATATTTAATAGAAGAGCATTTACTTTTGCCCGTAATAAAGCCCTGTTTGTGTGCATTAGTAAAAAAGATTGTTTGTTAGGTAAATTAAATTCTCGTCATAATCTGATGAAAGCTATATCATTTTATTAGCATCTGTTGAAATGCAAATAATTTCCCTTTTACTTATTTCTAACAAGCTATAACCAAATAAACACTTTGTACATATTTTCTAAGAGAAGCAAGAAAAGCAACTAATTTAAATTAATTAATAAATTAATAAATAAAAATAGGATATAAATAGAAATATAAAGATTAAAACTATTATATATAGCTTACTTCGAAGGGCATTTTAATTAGTCCTAAACTCCAACACTTTGATTAATATATTGCAAATTTAATTAATCTAAAAAAATTATATTTCCTGATTATACAAGTTATTATTATTAAAGCAAACTATAGCAGATTCCATTTCCTGGTTATATATAGCTAACAGGACAGGATGAGCAGAAACTATTAACAATTTTAGCACATCTACTATATGAGTCAGCGCATTAGATTTAATATTAATTGTCTAATAACTTTTTTTATAAATAATCATTCATATCTTAAATTTTACAAGGTATATCTGATCTTTCTAAGACTAAACATTAATTAGACTTTAATTTCATGCTTGTCATTGGTGTGCATCTCTCTTTTTTATTAAATCATTTTATTAGCAATATATAAAAATAGCTTGTAATTTTACTTGTTATTGGATCTTTACAAGTTAAATCAGGACAATAATTACAATTTCTTGACAACGAATACTCACATCTTCCTAAATAGTTAGTATAAATAATAATATTTTATATCTTTAATTAATTATTTAAAGTATTGAAATATTTTTTTAATTAATTTATTTGCTTACCCTGCTTAAATTTTTAATTTTTAAGATCAATACTTAAAAAAATATTTTAATTTATTAAATAGGGTTAAATTAAAATTTAGATAATAAATGATTTGATTTTAATAGAGTAGTAAGCCAAAAAAAAAATTCAATTGTAAAGTTAAAATATAAAAGATATTAATTAATTAATTACCAGTAAAACTTTAGCAAAGTGAATTTTAGATTGAAATTTAAATGCATAATCCAGGAGGTCCATAAAGCAAGCAACTATCAGGTTAACATGCATAACAATCAAAAGGTCTTGATTTCATATCTACGCATTGTTAATTTATTCCAGAGCAACCACTACTTTAGAGGATTTAACAAAAACCTTGTGAATTTAAGCAATAAAAACCTACAGAACAATCAGACTTTTTAATCAATAAAATATATTAATATATATATTACGCATGGAAAAAATAATATTTATTACTGCCTATATTTTACTTGCATCTTATGTAAGAATACAGTTTTAACTGTTTATTTATACTCCTATAATTAAAATATGTAATTTAATAAGTGGTTGATATTATTTTCTCTTATTAATAAAGATGTAATTAAATTAATAAAATTCATTTTGGTGATGAATTAATCAAAAATATATGTAGATATTATTAAAAAGAATGTAAATCAAAAAGATATTAATCTAATAATGTGTAATTAACCTGCAACATCATTAATTATATCAATTTTTACACAGAAAATGTTCTTATTTTACGTGCTTCTCTTTAAGCAGTATCTATTAAATTTTTCAAATAAATTATTAAATTTAGTATCAATTTTTTAATTTTTAATGAGTTACCCTATTTAGCATTACACAGCAACTCCATCTTAGTTTTATTAAAGGCAATTGTAATTTTTGTCTCTACCAATATAATTTCCATCAAACTAAATACATGCATTTTAGTTTATGCAGTATCCGTTTGAACATTTTTAAGCTAAAATTTATCCTTGAAAAATGCAGCTTCCTTTGTTATCTGACCCATACATATTAAATATAAAAGTTAAGGAACAGGTACCATCTGCTCTAGCCAATCTATTCGTATTTATAAGTCCATTTAAAAAGTAGCAATAATTGTTATTTAAACAAATTTCCAAAGATTGATAATTGCAACTTATCATTTAAAGATTAAGTGGGTTTGGTTGACAATTTTACACATAAAGATTCTAACTGAAAACACACATCTAAGCAGAGTTTTTGCCTATTATATTTTAGTCACTTAAAAAGCTTACACATTCATTCTTAGAAATACAATAGTCATCTACGCACTCTATTAAGCCATAATCATTAGGATCATCTACTTTATCCATGCAAAAATCAGTAACAACTTGCCTTCCTCTATATCCATCATTATCTTTTAAAGGTACGCAGTTTCGAGTATCTTTATCTAAGCATAGAGTGGGAGAGCAATTCATAGAATTATTATCCTACTAATCTAATGATTAACAATAATGAGTGTCAGCCTATTTGGCTGCTTGTGTTGAAATAAAATGATCTAAAAGTACGCAAGAAATCTATTCACCAGCAATAATTATACAATAATTGAATCTACATCTGTTCATGCATGTTAATAAAAAAAAATAGCCATTTTATTATTTGAAGACTTAAAAATAATAATAATAATAAGTATGGTTTTTATAAAGAATAAATAATCTATCAATATTACAATCGATTCTGTAAAATTTAAACAATTTATTAAAATAAAATATTAATCAAATAAATTAATAAGAAAGGAATAAAAATATTTTATTTTTTAAAATAATAAATAAATGGTGTTTTTGTATTTCATATATTAAGATGAGAAATAAAAGGATGGATGGATGGATAGTTTTAATTTATTACTTTTTTGCCTAGTTATTATTACTATTCATTTAAATGCATAATTGATATTGATCAAATCCGATGATGCTATATTAGTTTACTAAGTCATTCATGCTTATGCATGCATTTGATAAAGGAATTTCACTTTAAATTAATTTACAATATGTGCCTATGCATCCCTTTATTTCATAAGGAATAAATAAATCTGTTTTACTGTAGCAGACTGAGTTGGTTAATTTTCCCTATATTTAATTTAAATTGATAGTAAATCCATATATCATGAAGTAAATTAATAATAAGTAATTAATTAAAATAAAGATAAAGTAGTAAGTATTTAAAATATTTTTACCACTATATATTAAAAAGCAGGTATATATTTACAAAATGAAGAACATCCTGCATTATTTTAACAAATTGTTTCTATGCAAGTATTATTTGATTAAGTCCAACAAGAGAAAGACGAAGAAATAGTTGCTTATTCATTAATAACGCATTTGTTATTCTAATCATAGCCTATACACTAATCTAATACATTCATATCTTTGCAAACTGTGTTATCTTCTTTTTATTATTTACAATACCCCCATCTGCATTAAACACATTTATTATCATTTTGACAACTTCTAAATTTATCATAGCAATTATATTTATCACCTAAAAAGACCATCTACTATTAACTATCTTCAAAACAATCTAATCTACTAGATGTTACATTATCTTTACTACTGTCAATCAATATAGAGCCTTTTTAAAAATTGAAACAATTTAGAATAGTTAAAGAAATAAAATAATTTTTTTTACTTGGTATGGTTTATTGGTAATCAAAACAGTATACTTTTGTATACTTACCTGATTACAGAAAATAAATGATTCCAATATTTTAATCTTAATTAATCATAGTTTAATAATAATTTTTGTTAAAATCTATAGTTAAAATAGACCCTAAATTGTTATTATGATCTTAACAATAAGAAATGATTATTTTAAATAATTTTAATAGTAAAATTAAATAAAAAAGGAAAATCATATTTGACTATTCTTATTCTCTTACTTTTCTTTTCAGAATCTATTTTTTTTTAATTAATTTTTTATCAATTTTTTTAATCTTTAAAATTTTTTTTCCAAAGAAATAAAGACAAATCAACTCTTTAAAAATTTACACTTTCTTCTTTTAAAATCTAATAATAAAATTCATTTATAATTAGCTAATTTTTTCAATTAATTATCCTCAAATAAACAATTAAAATTAATTATTTATTTCAAGATATTTTATAAAAAACTCTAAAATTTTTCATTCATAAATATTTTCAAAATTAATTAATAGTCATTAAATTAGAAAGCGAGTGTATGTATGTATTATAATAATAATCTATAGCGATACTTTACACTTTCTTAATAATCAACATAGATCTCATATTAAATGAAGAATAATGCTTTAAAATAAAAGATTTGGGAAAGGAGTCTAAAAATAAATAAAGACATTCAAAAATATTTTTATTAACAAAATTTTTGATGACAAAGAGACATCAAAGATATTCTCTAACTAATTATTAATTATAGAAATTCTTTAAAATTAAAAAACAAGCATAATACTCAACACTTAAAATTGATGAAATTAATATCTCAGAAAATATGAAGGATAATTGTTTAAAGATAAAATAGGAAAAGAGTATAAAAAACCAAAAAAAAAAAATTCAAAAATTGTTTTATAGTAACAAAATTTTTTAAGAAAAAAAATAACAAAGATATTCTTTAACTAAATATAATATTTATACAAGATATTTGATTAATAAAGCTTGGGAAAAAGTTAATAAAGAATGTATGCTCAATTAGCTCATTTCAAAATATACTTAATTCTAAAAAGAGTAAGAAAAAGGAATAAATAGATAGATTATCATCAAAAATTTTGATAAATTAGCTCAATATAAATTACCTTACTCGTGTATTAAAAAATTTATTCACTTTAATTCAAATTTTAACATATGCATTTTTATTTTTTAAACAAGTGTATTTAGTAAATATATTATTTTTTATATTTTAACTTTCAATTAGATTGCCTATCTATCTATCTATCTATCTATCTATCTATCTATCTATATAAATTAAAGATATAACTTATTTCTAATTTTAAACAGTTTTTATAAATTGCATTTCTATCTAGAAAGTGAATATTATAAACAATTTAGAAAAAGTTTTATGGCTGATACTAAAGAACTATCTTAAAAATAATTTGATAAATTAGAGTATTTATATGTTAATAATAATTAAAAAATTTTATTTTCATATATTTAATATTTTAATAATATCTTTGATTAAATGTTAATTGCTAAACTTTTTTGATAACAAATTTACTACATTTAAAAAACTATTATTTTATTTTTCATAGTATTTCTGCTTTTAACAAGAATTTCAAAAAAAAACCTTATTTATAAATTATTTATTCAATAAAACTTTTATGAAAAAAGTTATAATGTAGATAAAAACATTTAAACTTGATACTTCTATTGATAATAATCTATTTTAGTAAATTATTTATGAAAAAAGTTATTGATTTACTTACTCATAATATTTTTTATTCATAAGTATTTAAAAATAATTCAATTTTTTTAAATCTTACATTTTTAGCATTAAAATTATTACAAAAATTTAAATAAAAAGAAAAAAAATAAAATTAGATAAAATTATTTTTCATCATTTAATAACTTTTATTGTTTGCTTATTTTATAATTAAATGTCATTTTTTTGTTTAAAAAAATTGGGGTCGTCCGAGAATCGAACCCGGGACCTCTCGTACCCTAAACGAGAATCATGCCACTAGACCAACAACCCTTAATCAATAGATATATAATTAATGAAATCTTTCTATTTAATTTTATTAATAAATTTTTAATTATTAACTTGTTGAATTTAAAATTTGAAAAAAATTAAAATAAATTAGAAATTAATTGATATTTATTTCATCAAAATAAAAAAATATTATTTTATTTAAGATTTTAATCAAACAAATTAATTTTAAAGTTATTTAAATAATATCTAATTATTGAAAGTACAATGTGTTTAAAATAATAATATTGAAAATAAAATAATTTATGAGCTTAGCACATCTCTTAAAATAAATTTAGTTATTTACATTATTTATCTATCAAAAAATAGTTCAAATAATTTAAACAATTATATTTATTAATTTATTTTTAATTCTACTTTAATTACTTTTGAATTTATTTATTTCAATTATAAGCTAAAAATTTTATTTTTTTATATACAGACTAACAATATTTTACATTTATATTTTATAATTTTTTTTATAAGTTTGGCAAATTTAACCTACCCATTTTATTTTTATTTGATTAGTTTTTTAAATGATAAAATGTATATTGTATAAATTAAAAAAAAAAATTAAATTATATTTTTAAACAGCGTTTAATTATAACAAAATATAAAATTTTACTATCTTTAAATAAAACAAACAATAAATAAATATTTTAAAAGTAAATATAGATTGAATAACACTCAAAATAAATTTACAAACTAATTGATTAATGCTCTTAAATTTATTTCATATTGAGATATATTTAAAAGATAAAAAACTATGAATGAAATTTTTCTATCATCTTTAAACTAATGAATATCTTAAATTTTTTGTTACAATTTATATCAAATAAGATTTTAGAGGAATTTTAAGAAAGAGGTGAAGAAAATTAAATTATTTTTAAAGATTACTATCCTTCTTAGATTTTTGTATTTTTAGATATAAAGAACAATTAATTTTGTAATCATCAATTTAGAATCTTTATAGTTATTTCATAATTTTACAGATATATAAATTAAGACAAATAGTTTAAATGAAAGAAAGGATTTTATATTTTCTGATACTTTTCTTTAGTTAACTTTTTTAAGTTAAAACTTAGTAGATTTTGCAATAATGCTCTTTCTAAAATACTTTCTTTTAAAGTATGGATGATACATGTTTCAAATGCCCTTAAAATTGTAGTTTATGCAATTAAATTGATAAATGCTTATAATGCTAGATTGGATTTTATATAGTAAAAAATTAAGAAAAAAACCTTTTATTAAGTTTTGTTACAAGAATTCAATAGGTTAATGCTTGTCGAATTGCGCCTAAGACCAATTTTAAGATGAATTAACCATGTAATGTAACTATCCGTTTGATAAAAATTGCAAAAAATTCGATTATTTTGGAAAATGTGTTTCGTGCAATGAGGGATATAGTCTAAATGAATAAAATGTATGTATTAATCTTTTATGCTCTTAATACAATGGTGAGTTTGATGCAACTACAAAAATGTGTTCTTTAGATAACTATTTATTGTCTTAAAGCATGAGAGAAAATGACAATTAGCATAATATTGGTACAATTTTGACAAAAGTAGACTTTTAATATTCGTCATATCGATAGAAAATGAATGAATAAATAGTTAATTTGCAAATAGTTAATATCGCGAATAGAAATATTGTAAATATATTTTTTATAATTATTTTACTAAAATCATTTTTTTTATTAGATTCTTGCTACATCAAATTAATATTTCCTATTTTACGATCTTTCAAATATGGAGTGTTTAAATATGATAGATATGCAAGGTCCTATTAATTACACAAAAATTGATTAATAAAATTCAAGATTAATGTGTTTAATTTCTCAAATCTAATTATCTTAATCTAATCAAATTTAATATATGATATCTTCTATTTGGTCCATAGATTTAATCACTTACTAGAAATAATTAATTTACCAGAATAATCAAATAGTTGATATTATTCTTTTCAATTCTTAATACTCCATAATGATAATTAATAATAATCTAATGATTACATAATTTGCAAATTCTTAAACAAATTAACTATAATTTGACTAATAAATAGTAATTGCTGTTTTAATGGAAAATAATAATATTTTGATACTTGTAGAGTCCAATTAAAATATCTATTTAATTAATTTACTTACTTAAAATAAATCTTAAATTACATTAAATTAACAACAGAGCTATTTTAAAATTTAGTCTAATATTTCTTGGAGTTTTATATCATTTTTGTAGGTAAACAAAAATAATTAGACTCAATACATTTAGATCTACAATATAAAGTAAAATACAGACTCATAAAATATTTTTGAATACACTATTGGAGACGTATTTTTTAATTTTATACTTTAAAAAGAAATATTTAATTTTAATCTATTTAATTAATTAAGCTAAATTAATAAATTCCATTTAGTG